TCCCCCACTGAAATAAATTGACAACAACATACAGGAAATCCTGATATTATCTTAGTGCTGACGTCAAAACTTGTGTCTTTGAGCCTGGTATTTCTCTTGGTTATCTCATAGAGCTTTCGAGTGCATCCTGTGTTTCATATACTGGAGAACATACATCCTGTTGCATGGGACAACATTCACAACTTGTATGCTTCTTATATTCTCTTTCTTTCTCTCTCGCTTTTACACAAGATTTTACAAGGTTAGGTTTCTCTCTGTGTCTGTCTGTCTGTCTTTCTCTCTATCTATCTCTTTCTCTTTCTCTGCTTCTCCCTCCTCCTTCTTTCTCTTTTTCTTCTCCTCATATTATTTTATTATTTTTATTTAATTATTATTATTATTATTTTTTATTTTTTTTTATTATTATTATTAAAGTGAATAAGTTTTAAAGCAACTGGAAGGCACATTCTCCTCCAAACTGTTGAACCAACTGAGCCATGGTTAAGGTTCATCTTTTTCACCATCTTTACATCAGATAGTGTAATATCTTCACCATGCACCATATGTCTAACTTGTGGGCGGTAGCCCAAAGATTACAGAGGCACATAATGGTCTCCAGGGACTTGGCCCCAGAGTTATGGGTCCAGGGTCTTGGCCCCAGAGTTTTTAAGGGGGATAAGTTAAGTAAGTAAAGTTTATTCAGGTATACACAAATACAGTTACATAGAATTATCATACATAGCAGCATATGTGTAGAGAACCTAGGATAACCCAAAAAAGTCAGACAGAGTGACTTATTTCCATTGGGGTCCTTTTACCTTATTATTATAGTATAAAGGTTATAATATTTTCTTATTATTCTACAATGAAGATAACATCTTATTATCATACTAAAAAGACTATCTGTTTACCCAAGGTCATTAAGCTATCTACAATACGAGGGTCATTACAAGGAATAAGGTAAAATTTACACGTATTTAGCTAAAAAATAGAAAATCATTCCCCTCCCTTTTTGTAGCTACATTCATCAGACACCTTTTGGCACTCTTCTTGAACTGGTTCAACGCTATGACTGGCTTTGAATGTGCGGGTAGTCTGTTCCATTCCTTTATTGCTGTACAATAAAAGGTGTTTGAAAGCTGGCCACTGACTGTGGGTACTACAAAGTTGTGCTCTCTCCCCTAGTACTATGATTGCTTTGGTTCCCAACCTTGACAAAATTGAAAAGCAAGATATTCTGGACATTGTTTGTGAGCAATTTATAAACATGATTTAGCTTCAGTTGTTTTACTCTGTCTTCAACATTCAGCATATCCAACTGCTGTAATTCACCCTGGCCTACATGTTTCTTGGTCCCACCCCAGGATGAATCTTACGATTTTGTTCTGGGTGATTTGCAGTCTATCTTTCAGTTTTTTTGTCAAGGCAGAGTACCAAGAAGAGCAAGCGTAATCCATATGGCATTGATAAGGGCTAGACATAGGTCCTGCGAGCCTCAGTAGGTGGGACACTGTGCTTGTCTATACAGAAACTTCAGTTTGGCTTTTCGCTTTCTTTACTACACTGTTCCCTATCAATTCTCCTGACATGCATGGGTCAAAGGGGTTTCCCCAAAATTTTACTGATGAAACCAAGTGATGGGCTCCCATTACATTGAACAATTAAAATTATTACCCTTCTCAGTTATGTTTCGTGCCAAAGAGATGCTTCAGTTTCCCTAGGTGGTAATGATAGTTTGTTGTCTACTAACCATTTGCTGCAGGACTCCAGTTCCAGTGTTAAAACATTAGCAAAAATCTTGTGGTTTTTAAACCTGACACTAACAGAGCACTGTCATCTGCATACAGTAGGAGTTTGCACTTGACACTGATAGGCATATCTTGACATAACATAAGAATAATAAGGGACCCAGAATACTACCTTGGGGAACTCCACATGTTATCGGCAGGGGTTCTGATTCTGTTTTGTTGATTTTGACTATTTGCCCTCTGTTGCTAAGGTAGGACTTAACAAGTCTACAGAACCTATACCAATACTTGAAGTTTATTACATAATATATTGTGGTTGACGTATCGAAGGCCTTTTGCAGGTCTAAGGTTACCATGCCTATGAGGTTCCCCTTTGACATTTCAGTTCTCAGGTAATCCATCAGATTAATAAGGGAGGTGTCGGTTGAGTAGGATCTTCTAAAGCCCGATTGATAGCTATGGAGAATGTTGTTGTCATTAAGGTACTTAACTACTTGAGAATACACCGCCCTCTCTAGAATTTTAGATATTATACTGAGTATACTAACAGGCCTATAGTTGCTTACATCAGACCTACTATTTTTCTTGAAGATAGGAGTGACTCTGGCCTCCTTGAACCCCTCCGGTACTGTATTAGTGGTATTGATAGGTCCAAGGACTGTGCCCTAGAGTTATGGGTCCAAGGATTGGGCCCCAGAGTTATGGGTCCAAGGACTGGGCCCCAGAGAGCTATATAAGTTACAGTTTTAATGAACTATTTACATGTCTACATCTGGTTACAATAGTTATTTATGCAGACACAAATTCATTCACAAAGGTATTACAGTGTAGCTTATATGTGGGCTTTAAATAAGGTATCCCTGAAGGGATACCTTTAATTGGTTGCCTGATTTTCATATTCCCCCCTTCTTCTTTTCGATTTGATTTAGCTCATAACTTGAGAACTCTTCATCCGATCGGATTCAAATTTTGAACGATTGTGTACGGTAACTAGGACTAGAATCTTGGAACATTTGGCAATATTCGACCCATTTTCGCATTATTTCGTGCAAATTTTAACGTGCTCGACTGATTTTTATTTACTATGCTTATAGTAAGCTGTCTTGCAGAACTGTTCTATATGAGGCTTTTTTTTTTGTAAATGCAAGTGAAAAGTGAACAACACGCACTATAAAGCACCTCTCAGGAGCTATTAAATTTTCGGTACATTATTTCAATGTCATTTACCAAAAAAATTCGTGGTGTATAGAGGAGTTTTATAAGAAAGCTTACTGTATTTGCTCTAAATATACATTTTTTGTATATTTATGTAATCTGACCTAAAATATCCGGCGTAAATTAAAAGAAGTATTTACATTCCGAAGTTGCCGCTAGAAATCACATAATGAAATTTTTGTAATAATATGAGGATAGTCTGCAATGTTTCTGAATTGAATCGTCATAGAAGAAGCATTCGCTCCATAATTTTATATATATATATATATATAATATATATATATATATATATATATATATATATATATATATATATATATAAAAATATATATATATAAAATTATAAATGTATTCCCACAATACATACATACTTGTATATAATAATAGAAAGGTAAAGCCGGTGTCGTGTAGGCAGCATTCAAACGAGTGGAGGTGTTGGGGCAAGAGTCCGGACGCAGTGTTTACATGGCTGTGGTCTTGATGTTTTTCTTGTTTATTCATATTTCTGGCCTCGACCCTCGCCCAGTGGCTAAATGTGTTGATCAAAGATGGATATAGTAACATTCTTAGCTGTTATAACACTGATACACGCCGCGTTTTATTTCACGGACCAGTTCTTGAAGGTAATAATGTCGAAATATTGGGCATGTTTCCTTACACCTGTCCCTGTTCACCTAGCTGTAGGTAGGTTTCTGGGTGTTAGTCACTTTACACCTGCTGTCCCTGTTCACCTAGCTGTAGGTAGGTTTCTGGGTGTTAGTCACTTTACACCTGCTGTCCCTGTTCACCTAGCAGTAAGGGAGGTTCTGGGTTTAGTCACCCTTACACCCGCTGTCCTGTTCACCTAGCGTAAAGGGAGGTTTCCCGGGTGTTTAGTCACCTTACACCTGTTGCCACTGTTCACCTAGCAGTAAGTAGGTTCCTGGGTGTTAGTCACCTTACACCTGCTGTCACTGTTTACCTAACAGTAAGTAGGTTCCTGGGTATTAGTCACCATACACATGCTGTCCCTGTTCACCTAGCAGGTAAGTTCCTTGGTGTTAGTCCCCCTTACACCTTGCCCCGCCCCCTGGGTGTTATTCCCTCCTTACACCCGCCCGTCCTGTTTTTCCCACAGTAAGTAGGTACCTGGGTTTAGTCACCTACACCTGTGTCACTGTTAAACCCAGCAGTAATAGGTTCCTGGGTGTTTTGTCACCTTTTCCATTTGTTCACTTGGGGAACATTGAGGCCTGGGAAAAAGACAACACATCCTTTAATGAGAAGACCTTGGGTTTTCATTTAAAAATCCCTGGGTGAAAATCTAACAAATCTATTTGTTTAGTAAATGGCCCGTTTTGCATTCAAAAATGAAAGTCCCTTCAACTTCCCAAAGGTGCTTTTTGTAAACCATTTGGTTTGGGACCCGACCCAAAAGGAAAAAAACAACAATTCCTAAAAACATTTTTTTTAATGCTAAGGCGAAAATAAAATATTTTAAAGGTGTTTCTTATCAAAAAATTTTCTACTAAGGTCTTGTAACCCCCTAAATGTGCATCCCGGAAGAATGTAGTATAAAAATTAATATTAAATTTTTAACAATGGGAAAAAGAGAAAAAGAAGGGATATAAAAAATTTTACTAAATTTGCGAAGAAAAAAGGACTTGCAGCTTGGGAATTAGTTTGGAATATGATTAAGGAAATAAAAAGGAAAAAAGAGGGTTTGGTAATAAAAAATTTATAAAGGGTTGGGCAAATTCAGTAAATTTAATTAAGAAAAAATGGATAGTTTAACTGGTTGGAAAAGATTATGAAATAAGTGTGGGCAAACTTGGGTAAAAGAATTAGATTGTGCTTACATTGGAGTAGGAAATGGTGTGCTTTATTATGTTCTTAATTGCCCTAGGGATTTGGGGTTTTTCTTAGATAAGCTTTACCTTTTTTTTCAGCAGGTAAGTTCCCCGCATCAACTTTGTAAAAATTTATATTCCACTTATATTTTTATTTACAAAAGAATATCAGTTAAATATTGCTATGCTGTGTTGTAAAGGTATATGTTTATTTTTGCGTCTGTTTCAGTCATGTATGAATGTACCGTATATCTACTTCCTGGAGAATGTTGGAATAACAATTAAGCCACTGCAGCTGCACTGGTTCACAACTGCTTTTAATCGATCAGTAACAAAGTGGGCGCTGTGGAGACCCAAGTTCTTCAAAATATGGTTTACGTAAGTTGCTCTACTGATATATTGAACAGATATATATGAAGTATGTATGAAAATGAGTTCCCTTGTAGTTTTTAATAGATAATTTTTAGGCACCTCTACTGTGATATTTAAGCATTTAATGACTCTTATGGGCTAGCACGTTATATGACTACTGTAATAATAATAATAATAATCATATAATGTAGGCTTCAACTCCTGATTCGAATGAATATTTATAAAAAATCCTACTATCATTTACCATTACATGCTCTCTAACAGGCTTTCCAAAAAGAAAAGAAAAGAATATAAAGGCACAATACCATGACTGGAACAATACACAAACAACCTGTACATAGGAAACTGAAACTGAAGACGATGTTTCAGTTTGACTTAGGGCATTAACTAGTCACGGATTGGTTATTGGTCCAAGTTGGACTGACACCTTGTCATAAGTTTCATACTCTTATGTGCAGGTTATGCACACAAAAAGAAAGGTATGTTGAGGTCTAGTGTTAATCCATGCAGAAGCAGCCTTCTCACCTCATGTTCAGAATGCAATCATCTTACTTTTAAACCTCTGAGATTCTAGTTTGCATTCGAGTTTTCAACTGAGTCCCTTCATATACAGTGTTTATAAAATATTACTTTGCCCAAACTACAATATACTGTCAAATTCCACTCTGATTTAACATTTCTAGTTATAGCTGATACATACTATAGAGCATATTTCTCACATCATTTCTCAATCTTTTCTTCAGGTCATCTCCCCACCTTCAGTCGAACCTAGATTGGTTCACTCTGCCAACCATCTTTTCTTCATTTATTTGAATTTTACCTTTTATACTGCCTTACTGATATGAAAGCTTTGGTCCTTTTTTATGGTAAATCTCTAAACATTTTGGCCATATAAGTAGCTCATGCAAAATTGCTCATGTTGAATTTTAAAACTATGGGGATAAAGCAATCAGTATAATGATGCCAATTGGAAATGATTCTGAAAATTCATACAGTCATTCATTCATTAATACATTCATTCATATACTAATATGTACATTCATTCATTCACTAATTCATTCATTCTCTAGTACATTCATTCATTCATTCATTCATTCATTTGTGTTTTAGCTTCAGAGAAAACACAAGACAGTGGTAGCAATACTGGTATTGTTTCTATGTATGCAAATTTCAAGTGGTTAGGTACAGTACTTGAATCCTTCTTTTTTTCTGTTTTATGTTTACAACATTTTAATATAGTACTGTTCTCTGTATAAATTAACTTAAGAGGTGTTGAATTTAAAACTGGAAGCTCAAAATTAGTATATACACCTTGAATAAATATTTTTGTGAATTTTTTTTTCAGAGTTGGTGTAATAGTAGTAGGGCTTCTGTTGCTTCCATCGATATTCCTCTTGATAAGCACACTGGTAAACCACTTCCGACCAGTACAAGAACAGACGGTACAGGCTCTGCAACCTGTGGTAAGATTGTTTGTGTAATGCATACTGTACATTGTAGGCAGTTGTTTAATCAGAACAGTGTTTGAAAGATAAGCAGTAAACTGACATACAATCAATCAAAGACACACAGGCAAAGATTTATCAAAACAGTGTTTTGTCCAGTGTGGGTTTCATCAAGTTAATTTGATAAAGGCCACTGTGTGAAGAATCATATTAATAAAGGTTTGCTCTCTTTGTGTTTCTTTGATTTACTGGAACAAAGTTGGGCATGTTCTTCACATTTACTTAACAAAATGAAAATAATTTGTGGAAGTCTCGTTCTTAGGTACAGTATTCCAGAATGCAGTAGTATTTCATTTTCATGTTTATTCAGAATAAATTTGTGTAATACAGTGAATATATTTTTTTAAATGAGATGTTAGTGTGTTATATATTTTTATTAAAAATTTTAAGTGTATTCACAATGTATTGTACAATGTTACAAGAAATACCCTATCATTTTTACATACTCCTCAGTTTTTTCATCATATAAAAAGTAAAGAATTGATATATCATGTTTTAGTTAGAGAAACTAAATTCTTAAAACTCCTGCACATGCATAATTGCAAATAAGACAGATCACTGTTATACTATCTTATATTTCTTGATACTGTATTTTTTTTTTGTCTTCAACACACAGATTTTCTATTACAATACTGGATTATTTCTTAAAATTTCTCCTTTAGGTACCAGGTATTAATTTGCCTATGAAGGAGTTGTCATGCTACTTTTTTACTTTATTAATGGCATCGATCATCCACGAAGCTGGACATGCAATTGCTGCAGTAAAGTAAGTGAGTTGTTACAAATTTGCTCTTTGCACAATACATGTATACACTATTCAGCAATTGTATTATTGAAATGGAATTTATGTAGATCTTTCTAAAATTTGTATTGTGTTATTGCCGTTAATAAAAAGTGAGGACATGGGAAGATATAATTGTGTTGGAGATACACTGTAGTGCTTTAATTGAAGTTTTATTTGCATCACTATCAGAAAGTAAGGACAAAGTATATACATAATTTGACATCGCCGTATTAGCAGAACGCCGTAAGGTGAAACGCCGTAAAGCGGGGCCTTACTGTACTGTATAGAAAAGCAATGAATGTGTTTTGTTAGCCTTGTCTGTTTCCTATTTACCTTTATTTTTGCTGTGACATTGGTAATCTTCCTGTCATTTTAGTTCCAGTCCTTACATTACTTAAAACTTCAACTGTAATCATCTCATCCCATCGTTCTTCCATGTCAAAATTACTTTAGGCCATTCAGATCAACAACAGTAAACTTATCTCAAACAGATCATCACACAACAAACATCATCCATTAGACACACACCACCCATATACAGTTCTCCAAATCTATCCAGGAAGGGGCTACTGTCTCATCATACAAGTGTTAAATGGATGCTTGCTAAATACTTTTCAGTCTGTGAGGATTGTTGGTCTTTAAATTTTTCTGTCTCATGAACATATAAGATGACAGGTAAATATTACAAATTTTGTCTCAAATTCATTATACACTTAAGCTTTACCTTCCTGTGTGTTTCTCAGTAGTTCTTATCACTTTATTATTTCATTCCTAATACATGAAGCCTTGTCTGAGAATGGGTCCTGGGAGTGGGAAGTGCAGTGCCTGCATTCTGATGGAGGAGTGGGGATGTCACAGTTCATGGGTTATGTATTTAAATTGAAATGTCTTCACACTTCCAGCAGGACAGCTATTGAATGTATGACTGTATTATACAATCTCAAGTATATATTGTTCAGTTTCCCTAGGCCGCCTGTTCTTTATATAATAATTTAACATTATTAGCATTTTAAATTAGAGATGTTTTCTATGCTTTAATTAATGCTTCTTGAAATCTATTTTGTAACTGTAGCTTAATTGCTTCTTCATTATTGATTATAATATTTAATAAGCACCCAGTATTAATTTTCAGAGAGGACGTTCATGTGAATGGTCTTGGTTTTCTTTTAATGTTTATCCTGCCTGGAGCTTATGTAGATGTTCCAACAGAAGAGATTCGAACTCTCACTCCATTCAGACAGCTGAAGGTAAACATTTCCTTCCATGTTTTGCTGCTAGTGAAGTCATTTTTTTTTTTTTTAATATCCTCTTTTCTTGCATACCTATATTTCATAAATGATAAATTATATCAGTGGCTGTGCATAGAAAAGTACCTGAGAATTTATGTGCATTTATTTATTTGTCTTATTTATAAGCTATAGGAGTGAATGGAGACAGATGGTATTTGGGACCTGACGATCTGTTGGAGTGTGAGCAGGGTAATATTTAGTGAAGGGATTCAGGGAAACCGGTTATTTTTATATAGCCAGACTTGAGTCCTGGAAATGGGAAGTACAATGCCTGCACTCTAAAGGAGGGGTTCGGGATATTGACGGTTTGGAGGGATATGTTGTGTATCTTTATACGTATATGCTTCTAAGCTGTTGTGTTCTGAGCACCTCTGCAAAAACGGTGATTATGTTTGAGTGAGGTGAAAGAGTTGAATGATGATGAAAGTATTTTCTTTTTCGAGATTTTCTTTCTTTTTGGGTCACCCTGCCTCGGTGGGAGATGGCCGACTTGTTAAAAAAAAAAAAAAAAAAAAAAAATAATAATTTAAACAGTGATTATGTATGAGTAAGGTGAAAGTGTTGAATGATGATGAAAGTATTTTCGTTTTGGGGATTTTCTTTCTTTTTGGGTCACCCTGCCTAGGTGGGAGACGGCCGACTTGTTGAAAAAAAAAAATAATGAAAAAACGGATTACTGTTATGTTACTTTCACTTGGAGCGTTTTACACGAGTTATTTTGTCGAAACCGCACGTAGATATACACTGTATACACATTGCCAGTCTTCCAACAAGGTAGAGTGATTCAGAAAAAGTAACACATTCACCATCATTCTTTCAGTAACTGTCTTTCCAGAAGTCTGTGGGTACAATTCAGATAATATTCTGAACAGCACATCCCCACTCAAGTTCATTTAGCATTTTTCCCTAAATCCCTTCATAAATGTTACCCTGCTTACACTCCAACAGCATATCAATACCTAAAAACCTCTTGTCTTCATTTTGATATAGCAGGCTTACATATATTTGGTGGATGCTCAGGCCTCTACCACTTTAAACTTCCTTCACCACTCTCTCTTCATCCCTTCCTAGGACAGCCACTACCCCTTCTTTCCTTCACTCTGGTTTTATGCCCCTTCTTTATCAGTCTGTTCTGCTGCATCCTCTTCTGCCCACTGAATTATATCTTTTGTAGCCTCACACAATCTTTTAATTCCTACACTTTCTCTGCATGATACTCACGCCTCCTTCATGCAACATTTAAAGATTATGTCTCACACCCACATAAGAGTATTGGACCACTATTCTTTGATACATTTTCTTTTTTTGCCTCCTCACACATACAGTAAACCTACAGTTGAACTAATTTGTATATACGAAACAATCTTCTGAGTACGTATTTGATTTGGAAACAACAGACAGGGTCTGTTGATTACAGAACTTTTATTGTTTTGATCACTATTCCACCTTAGCCTCCATTACTGGCCATCTTCTCCTCATTACTAGGCCCATATATCAAGGTTTACTTTCTTTACACAGACTTTGCAACATATCACCTAACTTTTTTTTTACCTTGTCTATTATATGGCTTGCCTTCTCTTTCATAAACCCATCTGCCGACAGAACTTTGCTGTAAACTATTTTGTGTTTCTTCGCATTTTTTTTATATTATTTGTGTAAATAAGTCACCATGGAGCCTATGAGGGTTAGTGATGACAGCCATCCAAAAAGAAAATTGGTTGGGAAAAATTCGTTCTGTACTCGAACAGATCGGCACTTGAATAGCCTTCTGGAACCAATTAAGTTCGAGTGCCAAGGTTCTACTGCATTTAAATACACTTATCCCCCCTTTCCCCCCCCTCTTCTCTCTCTCTCTCTTCTCTCTTCTCCCCTCTCTCTCCTCTCTCTCTCTCTCTCTTTTTTTTTTTTTTTTTTTTTTTTTTTTTTTTTTTTTTTTTTTTTTTTTTTTTTTTTTTTTTTACACATTTTTGACAAGGTTAAACCCCAGTTTATTCAGCTATTTACAGGTTTTAAAATTCCTAACTTTATTACCAGCCAACCCTTCCCACATCAGCTCATAAAAATTTTTATTTTCTCTTTTTTCTCTTTCCTCTCTTTTTCCTCTTTTCTTTTTCCTCTCTTTCTCTTTTTCCTCTTTTCTCTCTTTCTCTTTCTCTTTTCTCTTTCTCTTTTTCTCTTTCTCTTTTTCTCTTTCTCTTTCTCTCTTTCTCTCTCTCTCTCTCTCTTCCCCCCCTTCCCCCACAAACTGCTACCTGTAATCTCATTGCTTAAACTTTTCACTACATTCACCACCTGGCTTTTTTCTATTTTCACATTTATTTTCCTTTTTTTACACGCTTTCCCAAACTCCACCACCAACTTTTGCAACTTCTAATCAGAATCTCCCGAAAATACTGTGTCATCGGCAAAGAGCAACTGTGGCTGGTATTGTATCTAATAATTTTGAATTACTACATCAAAGGGTAAGATCACAGCTTAATTTTGAAAGTCAGATTTCAGAAATCCACTTCTAGGTAATGATTGCATTTGATCTGTAACTCTGTAAAAAGATTTTATTACTGTAAATTCTTTGACTTGCTGACTTAATGCATACTGGATTTATGCCGATATTTTGAAATATAAATTAGCCACGGCAGATTATAATTTTAGGTGAGTATTATTTCTTCTTAATTTTAATAATTTAATGTTTCTTTTTTTGGGTCACCCTACTTCAGTGGGAGATGGCCAGTGTGTTAAAAACAATATTAAAGTTATGGTATGTGTAATAGTTTGAAAATATAGAGGCATCTCTACACAAGATTTTATTGGAATTAGCCTTATGCCTTCTCTCAGTCAAAACCACAATCAGATTTAGGGATAAAATTTTAGAAATCTCAGGTTTATTTCATTTGAAATGCTTGTTTGGGAGAAGAAATAATTGATGTAATATGCAATGACATTGTTTGCTAATGAAAATGAGTGTTTGCCATATGTGCTTTGTTGTTATTATTTATGCTATTACCAGCTATGAGAGGGTGATGATGGTGGTGCATATGGAAACTTTTCATTGAGGATTTTTTTTACAAGTGCTGATTATTTGCAACTCTATATGATCTTTATACTTGTTTCTTGCCTCTCAACATTCTAAGTAATTTAGCAACACTTTCTCTTCTCCCTACTCTGCATCAGGTGTAATGTTGCAGATAACTGTCATTGTATTATAATTTTCATTTTCATTCTCGCAGTTCTCTCTTTTTAGTTGATTTATTGAAATTCAGGAAACATGAAACATTTTTTTAGCATTGTAGTGTATTTCAGTACCCTCTTGAAGATAAACATTGATTCTTTATATTAGTTAATTTTTTTAGCCACATAATTCATCTTACCATTTCAGATATTATGTGCAGGAGTTTGGCACAATATTGTCCTAGTATTGTTGGCACTCGGTATAGGTCTGTCAACCCCATTTTTCCTGCAACCGTTCTACCTTCATGGTCATGGCCTGACTGTCATGCAGTTAACACAGGTTAGAAAAACTGCATGGTTATAAATTATCAAACTTTCCTATCAGGCCCTTTCAAAAGTTGCTTTGATGTTGATGAAAGGCTCTTGATCCAAGGAACTAGAGGTACCCCTCTCCCTTTCTTTGATCAGACATGATTACCTCCCATTTTCCATACTGTGTATGACTCCTATATGTTTAGTATTTCCCCAAGAAAATACTAATAATTTACTGTTTTCTTTTTAATGAGGTGCTAGACTTAATTTTTTTTATTTACACAAAAAATAAATTTAGTAATGTATATAGGAAAAGGGGTTACTATCCTCTTGCTCCCGGCATTTTAGTCACCTCTTACGATATGCATGGCTTACGGAGGAAGAATTCTTTTCCATCTCATAGAGACATATACAGTGAAACCTTGGTTTTTTTGATTAATTTGTTCCAGAAAGTCTGACGAAAACCGAATTGTTTGAAAACTGAAGCAATATTTCCCATAAGAAATAATGTAAATCCAATTAATCTGTTCCAAACACTCAAAAATATTAACAAAAAGTACATTTTATAGAGAAAAACTATAGTTTTATATACAGAAAACAATGAGAAATAAATATAAATGACTAATGAAATGAATAAATGAACATTTAACATCACTTTTACCTTTATTGAAGACTCTTGTTGGCGTATGGAAGACGGCAAGGAGGGAACAGGAAGGAGGAAAGGTTATTATTTGAAAAGGGAATCCCCTTCCTTAAGGACTTCAGGTATCAAGGCCCTATATGGGGTTACTTCCCTTCTTTGTCTTTTACTGACACTAGGACCAGCTTGAGAGTCACTGTACCCCTGTCGCACAAAAAATCTGTCCAGAGAGGTCTGTTTCTAGTGTCTCTTTAAGATTTGCCTAAAATGTGACAAGGCATTGTCATTGAACATGTTGCAGACATGGCTTGCAACAGCTTTGTTAGGATGATATTTCTCCACAAAACTTTGCAACTTTGCACACATGTCTTTAATCACTGAAGAAGGCACATTCTCCCCTCTCTCTTTCTCCTCCTCTGAAGCAATTTCCTCAGCTGTGGTCTGTTGCTTTTCCAGTTGAAGGTCTTGCAGCTCTTTAGTGGTTAGCTCTTCCCTTTGGCTGTCCACCAACTCTTCCACATCCTGGCCACTCATATCCAACCCCATGGACTTCCCCAAAGACACAATAGATTCCACAACAGGCATAGGGCCGTCAGAGTCAGTCTCAAACCCTTCAAAATCCTTCTTGAGGACACATGGTGGCTTATTTAGCAGTCACACTCAATAAACAAGGACAAAAAACAATGGATTACTTCAAAATGTTATCCGAATGTGCAGGGCAATGCTCACTTAATGAGAAACAGAGCCAGACTGAGTCAGAATGGGTGGGATGCTTTGTGTGAGCATGGGCAGGTGGATGCATTTGGCACGTCGGACCATTGCCAATTCTACGAAAACTGAGTGGATGTACGAAAATTAGGAAAAAATTTTGACAAAAAAAGTCATCAAAAACCGAATCCTATGAAAACCAGGGCATACAAAATCCAAGGTTCCACTGTACTGTACAGAATAATAATAGCTATCTGTTCTAAAAATTTTCATATTTCTTGATTGGGACAGTTTTCCTTCACAATGTTGCTTTGATGGACTGCAAGGACTAAGTGGTATGAAACTTAAATTACTATTGAAAGCTCTGTTTTGTTTGCAGGACTCTCCTGCCCGAGGACCTACTGGTCTTGAAGTTGGAGATGTGATTACATCAGTCAACAAATGGACAGTTGCAAGCATTGTTGACTGGCGTCACTATCTGATTAAAAGCATCAGCTCTGATCAGATGGGTTTCTGTGTCCCAGAATCTGTTGTTCACACATATGATGAAACAATTCATCATGGTAAGTTTACTTCATTGGCTAATGGGTACACTGTATCATGCACTGAGTTTTGCTGTGGGAAACCTTATTTATTCTTTTTAGGGTTTATTACTAATAGGAGGATGGAGGAGGAAGGTTTGTAAGAAATAAAAAAAATTGTATTCTGATGGGTATACAATCTTAGAAAATAAAAAACAAATATTTCCAACACAAATGCCATGGATTTGTTCTTGAAGCTAAGCATGATTGTCGGGTTATTGTTTACTGTAGTATGTAGTGAGAAATACACTTGTAAATATTCCTTACTTATAAAGTGAATGTTTTGTGTCACAGAAAAGTAATCATAAGTCTCCCTGGTGTTGCATGACTTTGCATTGCTTGAATTTATTCATCTGTGTTTATAGAAATACACTTAGTTGGCTGGCATGGTACAGTGGATAGCACACTGGCCTGCTAGTTTTAGGACTGGGTTGCAATTGTGTCATTAAGATTTTGAGAGCTCTCCAGTATGTATTGTCTTTGTGTGAGGTCAACTTGTTTGTATGTCATTTTGGCTTTTATAAAACAGGGGTTTCATACTGTATGTACAGTAGAGCATCAGAAATCCAGAATGCTTGGGATCAAGTCATGTTTGGATACTAGTCATACTGTATACCTGACTATCACTACTATCATATTCAAGAAGTGGGTTGACAACTTCAAATACAAAATATGCAAGTCTTTTGGCTTGATAAAAGAAAGGCTACTAGTGTATGTAATATAACTTTGGGAATATTAGGTGGTGAATATGCTTGTGGCATTTCAGTAACCAGCATACATTCCTGAAACAAGTACATAATGACCAAAATGGTTTTCAGGATAAATGTAATCAAGGATAAACAAAGCATTTTAAATAAATCTTTCTGTGATGCAATCTGTTTTTTAATATTTTCGGACTACATTATTGTAGCCCTGTTTGGTTAAGCCTTTGCAAGCAATTATATATGTAGATTCCAACAGATGGTCCCAATGAACTGGCTGTATCCCACAGAGGAGAAGGGGTTACTAGCCCCTTGCTCCTGGCATTTTAGTCGCCTCTTAAGACATGCATGGCTTATGGAGGAAGAATTCTTTTCCACTTCCCCATGGAGATAAGAGGAAATAAAGAAGAACAAGAACTAGTAAGAAAACAGAAGAAAACCCAGAGTGTGTAGAGTGACCTAAGCGGAAGTAGAAGTAGCAAGATATACCTGTTATCCTGTGTAATTGTAAAACAATTACAGGTTTCCGTTTCACACTCACTTGGCAGGATGTTAACTGGTTCCTGTCTACCAACCTACTACCTAGGTACTGTACATATATAAACACTAAAGACAAAACATTACAAAAAAAAAAATATAAAAAAAGACAGGTTTCCCTCTCACTTTAATGCAGGTTCTCTTTATGTGAATTAACTGCTATGTATTGTTTCATTTCTATCAGTAATTCTGTATGTGCATTATACATTTTCTGTATGCAGTCAGTGTTCTTCGCAAAACACACCAAAGATTTTTATGTGGAATTGAGTGTTAATGGCCTGATTGCTGGGTCTTTAGAGCATAGTAGACAATATTATTATCTTGACTATATCATGTATAAAGCATATATAATCAGCACTTTGGTTACTTCTGTGTGGAAAAACATCAAGCGCTGAAGTTGTTATTATGGTATGCTGCACTGTTGCATCTCGTGGATTGTGCTCATCGTACACATTTGTTCTAGACTTTGAGTATTTTCTCTGGTGCTACTGATGTAGGTTGATGTTAAATTTTTTAGTTTGTAAGTTAATTTTTCATGTAAGCATGTAGCCATTTCACCTAGAAATCAAACTTGATCTGAAAAAACAGTGTGTGTTATTGGTTGTGTATAAGTGAGAGCTGCCCACTTTTCCTAAATTTTGTTTATATTTTTCCTCCAGAAATGTATTTGAAGGATATCTTTCTGATGCATGAACTTTATAAACTGTATGTGGTAAATTAGGTTGTCTTGTCATGCCACGTTACTATTCTTTTCTTTTGTCATGATCATAAAAATTGTGGTGAAAAGTTTTTTTAAGTAAGGTTTTAGTGATCTTCAAGGTAGTCTTAATGTATTTGTTTATTTTTGAAAGTTGTGCATACATGTTATTCATTAAAATAAGTCTGTTGTTGCAGAGGCAGCTTCCGATTCCTTCTTTGGTCACTTATCCAGGTTATATTCTAAAAGTAAAGGTAAGATTTAAGTGGAAAATTATAAGACAATGTCATAATTAGGCAAAGCTAAAAGTAAAATTTGGAATTTGGTGATGCCTGAAATTTATAGTGGATCCACTTGTGTTTTCTTTGAAATGCAGTCTTTAACAGTGAATGCAGTGTCTGCCCTTTACTTGTTTAAATTCTCTAGCTTGCAGTTTATTGTGAACTGAGGAATGAATAGTTTATTATGAACTAAAGGAATGAGTAGCTTAATCATGGTTGATCTTGCCAACAATAATGGTGCTATTATCCTGCCACTTTACTAAAATAGTCTGTACCACTTAATTAGAAGCAATTGAAGGGTTACTGTTAGTTTTTTCACTTGATGCTGATTTATTAGCAAAACCAGACAGCATATATGTTTTTGTGAGGTACACAAGAAGAGGTAATAAGTTTAAATACCTGAATGAAAGAGAAATTTGTATTGTAATATTGTTTGTACTGTTGCTATTTTGTATTTGATGTGCTGTTGGAGTGTGAGAAGGAGAATATCTCTCAAGGGATTCAAGGAAACTGTCTAGCAGATTTAGAGTGAGAGGCACAGTCCTGAATTTAGAATGATGGGTGATTATGTTGCAGTTCAGTTGTTCATTTACATTGTGATTGAAAGACAGCTATATAATGAATGATGGTAAATGTGTTTCCCTTCTTTGGGTCACTTTCTTTGGTGGAGGATGGCCGATGTGTTGGATAGGAGTGAATGGAGACGAATAGTTTTTGGGACCTGACAAGTTGTTGGAGTGTGAGCAGGGTAATATTTTACGAAGGGATTCAGGGAAACCAGTTAGCCGAACTTGAGACCCGGAGGCGGGAAGTCCAGTGCCTTCACTTTGAAGGAGGGGTTTGGGATATTGGCTGTTGGGAGTGGCATCTAGACTGTTGTATCTGAGCGCTCCTGCAAAGTCAGTGATCATGTGTGAATGATGGTGAAAGTGTTTCTTTATTTTTTGGGTCATCCTGCCTTGGTGGGAGATGATTGATGTGTTTAAAAAAAAAAGTAGTAATAATTGGATGTGGTACATGAGTTCAGGTAACTGGTAAATTTTTAATAAGACTTAAGATTTGGGTATAGTGACATAAAGATAAAAGAAAAAGAGAAAAGAAAATGAAAGGGTTGGAGGTGCCTTTTAGTTATGTCATGGAAAATGGGAAGTGGTTAAAGTATAAAAAGAGCTATGGCATGAGTGAGAAATTATTCTAGTCCTCTATTGATGGAATGCTAAAAATGAAGCTTTTATAGAACAAGTTAGTGCAAATTGAGAGCAGTAAAAATAATTTACGCGCAGTATGTGGCCCATAGGTAGTCTTGAGTGCAAAAGAGAAGATTTTAGTAATAGTTTGCCAGGGGTGAGGGAGTAATTCAGTTGATCCATTCATGATTTGCTTTTCGTCTTGGTGATTTTGTTCGTGATCATTACAGTAACTGTGTTACATAAGATTGCATTGTCAAGAGAGAAGGTTAAGCATGTAATGTGACCTGACCAGAGTAGCAGGTTGTACTAACATTACAGCATCGTGGGACTAGATCAGGCATGTAATATGACCTGAGTAGCAGGTTGCACTGACATTGCACCATCATGGGAGTAAGTCAAGCATGCAATATAACTTGAGTATCAGGTTGCACTAACATTTTACTTACAGGTGTCATATAATAAGTTAACAACCTTGACAATTTTGATACCAAAGAGTGTGTGACCCAGTGAATGACCTGCATGCCAGATTACTGTATCATATCAACCACTTTTATTATTCTTATATTAGTTTTAATGATATTTTGAACTTGCATTTTATCAACAAATTCAGTGTAATGTCACCCTTGTTAATGGGCTTAATTTTTTTTTGTATAAATATTTTACAATATAGTGGAACACTAACATTTTTAAAATTTTGCTGGTATGAAGCAGCCCACAGTTAAAAATATTTGGCACAAAACATCTAAAATATCGGGAAATACCAACCAAGATTATCAAACAAATAAAATTGGGCATTCACTACTGCCTGTAGTTGTCCTCTTGCAAGCTATGCATTGTATACTTTTATGCACAGTAGATGTAGAGGATTATGCACTAAGTTAGTTTAAGAACATCTAAAGTTTCTGATTTTTCAATATCGACTAAAATACTTGTGATGTCTAGAATAACAACTACAGGTACTGTTGATTTCTTGAATACTTACAGCAGTGTGGGCTGCTTCATATGATTATGCCTGTTTCATCATCGTACAGTATCCCTAATGGTTAGGATTTACTGCTTAGTAACACCAGTTAATGATATTAACTTTAGAAATGATGTGCCTACTGGATATTCTGTATGATTTTTCCAGTTAGTCTACAGGTATTTGGAGCAACTGCACTGTCATCACTGTCATTGGTTGAGTTACTTCAGTGTCTGTATTTATGACTTTATCAGTAGTATCTGCATGCATCACCAAGTGTTTTACTGTTTGTACATAAGCATTTTATTGTAGTCACTCCATTTCTTAATATGTTCCGCGGTTGCCTCAGGAGGTTTTTCACAAAGGTCTTCAGTATATGCTCTTATTTTTATCCAAGTCAGCCTTCTCAAAATCAAGACAGAGCTCAAATTAATGTTCACTACTGGTATCATCATCATAGAGCTTGCTTGCAGTGTTTATCAAGCATTCTTCACTGTATTTGTAGTCACCTTAGCTCATGATTCTGCAAATTTATCTATTGTATTGTAATGGAAAAAAGCTTTATGAAATGGTATATATATCTATCCATTTCTTAAAATTTAAAAAAAAAAAAAAAAAAGATATTCAGGATTTTGCTATGGTACAATATTTATCTTCTAGATTTTTAATCACTTCTTGGTCCATGCTAGATAATAAACATATAAAGTTTCCTAAAGGGCATAAAAACTTTGCATGGAACAAATTACTCAGCAGGTGGCTGAGTAGAGCAGTTATCGAGCAGTAACAAAATTTTAGGAAATTTAATCTAATGAGCCCGTGCTTTTGTAATGCTTCTTGGCCTCGTTAACAAAATATTTAATGAACTATTCGATGGTTAGCTCCCAAGTAATCTAAGGAGCCTTGTAATGAACAAGCATTATGTTATACAGTGGTCCCTTGTTTATCGTCATTAATCCATTCCTGGAAGTGCAACGATTGTTGAAATAGACGATTTTCGAATAAATTTTCCCCATAAGAAATAATGTAAATGTAATTAATTCGTTCCTGACACCCAGAAGTATTAAAACAAAAATTTTTTTACATGAAATATAGATGTAGTACATAAACAATACAATGGGACATGATGAATGAAACATTAAAAGCATAATACCTTTATTGGCGATTCTTCTTAGTGTATGGAAGACTGGAGGAGGAGAGAGATTGGATTAGTTACTGTTTGGAAGGGGATTCCCCTTCCATCAACACCTCAGGTACCAAGTCCTTTTCTGGGGTTACATACTTCTCTGTTTCTTAATGCCGCTAGGACCAGCTTGAGAGTCACTGGAGTCCTGTCTCGCAAAAAAAGTGTCCAGAGAGCTCTGTTTCTGGCGTCTCTTTAAAAACTTCCCTAAAATGGGCCAAGACTCTGTCACTGTACAAGTTGCCGACATGGCTTGCAACATCCTTCTCAGGGTGATGTTTCTCCATAAATCTTTCCATTCTACCCCACATTTCAAAAATCTCTTTAATTTCTGAAGAAGGCACCTTCTTCCATCTCTCTTCCTCCTCCTCTGCAGCAAGATTCTGAGCTGCGATCTGTTGCTGTTCCTGCTGAAGTTCTTGCAGCTCCTCAGTGGTTAGCTCTTCGTTATGGTCCTCCACCAACTCTTCCACATCCTCCAAACTCACATCCAACCCCATGGAATTCCCCAATGCCACAATAGATTTCACAACTGACATAGGCTCATCAGGGTCAGCCACAAACCCTTCAAAATCCCTCTTGTGGACACAATCTGACCACAATTTTCTCCAAGCAACAACAGGTTCCTTGATTTCCTTTTTCTTTGCCACAATGGAAGGTATGGTTGTATGGGGTTTGTTATACATCCTGGCCAGTTCGGCCACATGTACGCCACTTTCATATTGTTCAGTGATGTTTTTCTTAAATTCAATTGTATTTCTCACCTTCTTTACCAAAGGCTTGGCACTAGGAGCTTTCTTTGGAGCCATGGTAGCTTATTTAGCACTTGCAAGCACTAAAATGAATGGAATATTGTGAAATATTTCGTATGAACAGGTGAGGGGACCGTCACTCACTGGTAAACAATGGCACACTGGCTGGGAAGGGAGGCCGAGGCGGCTCAGAGCTGTGAGTATGCGTCCAGGGTGAATGATGATTAGCGAGTCAACCGACCATTTGCGAGCCAATGTTTGCATGAAAATAACGCGACGATTTCCGAAAAGGACGACTATCGAGCCCGACAATTATCGAGGGACCACTGTATACATTTGACCAATGAGAGGTTAAATTTGTGCACCAGTTGCATTAGCACAGGTCAAACCAGTTAATCTTTCTTTAGATTTTTTCACCCCAGTCATTGCTCTCTTTGTTGCAATGCAGTATCTTGCAATATACCTTCAAAATAATATGATCTTGTCGGCTCTGTATATTTAGGGCTCCCAGACAAATGATTAATGGACACTTGGCTGACAGACATTTCACTGAAGGAGAATTGACTGCACAGATATTTCACTGAAGGATAATTGGCTGAACAGATGTTTCACTGAAGGACAATCGGCCGAAGAGATATTTCACTGAATGGACATATGGCCTAACTGGCACTCATCACAGCATGTTTCCCAAACATTAAAAATAATAAATAAAAATAAAAAAAATTGAAAAGGACATAAAATAATAAACCTAACCAAACCTAATTATCCGTTCAGCCATATGTCCATTCAGTGAAATGTCTGTCAGCCAAGTATTTGTTGGTTATCTGTCGGGGCATGATATTTAATCGTGAGTTAATTGATGCATCTCTACTAAAACTATAATTTAATCTGAATGTTTCCCATAGTTAAACCTTACCTTGATGTGAAGTGACCAGTAAAGTAAAATAAGACAAATTGTTGCATTAACATAAACCTTCAAAATTTTTTTTGCAAGCAGCCACCCATGAGTGTAACCCTTTTTGCTTTCATTAATAAGATGTTGGTGAAAATACTTTGCTTGGTATCTCAGTATTCTTGCAGAAAGAGGAGCACCTTCAATGCACCGCTGGCAACAGTACTTCATCATAAGATTTATACTTGGTATAAATTAAGTGGATGCCTGCACTTTAAAGGAGGGGTTTGGGATATTGGCAGTTTGGAGGGATATGTTGTGTATCTCTATACGTATATGCTTCTAAACTGTTGTATTCTGAGCACCTCTGCAAAAGCAGTGATAATGTGTGTGTGTGTGGTGAAAGTGTTGAATGATGATGAAAGTATTTTCTTTTTGGGGATTTTCTTTCTTTTTTTTGGGTCACCCTGCCTCGGTGGGAGACGACCGACTTGTTGAAAAAAAAAAAAAAAAATAAATTAAGTGTCTTCAGCAGTTGTACACTTTTCAAGGAATACTTTAAGCATTTCTCTGTCGTGCTTGTGCTGAAAAATGATGAACTATTTTCATGGTGGAATTTGTCTAGATTAGATATTTCTAGTAAAATAACTAATGTATAAGACTTGAAAATAAGAAAGGAAGATTGTAAATGTTTGGAGGAGGAGGAGGAGAGGAGGAGGAGGAGGAGGAGGAGGAGGAGGAAGGAGAGAGGAAGGGGAGGAGAGGGAGAGGAGGAGGAGGGAGGAGGAGGAGGAGGAGGAGGAGGAGGAGGAGGAGAGGGGGGAGGAGAGGAGGAGGAGGAGGAGGAGAGGAGGAGGAGGAGGGAGAGGAGGAGAGGAAAGGGGGAGGAGGAGGGGGAGGAGGAAGAAGAAGGAAAGAAGAAGAAGAAGAGGAAGAGGAAGAGGAAGAGGAAGAGGGAAGAAGAAGAGGAAGAGAGAGGATGAGGAGGAGGAGGAGGAGGAGGAGGAATGAAGAAGAAGAAGAAGAAGAAGAGGAAGAAGAGGAAGAGGAAGAGGAAGAGGAAGAGGAAGAGGAAGAAGAAGAGAAGAGGAAGAAGAAGAGGAAGAGGAAGAAGAAGAGGAAGAGGAAGAAGAAGAGGAAGAGAGGAAGAAGAGGAAGAGAAGAAGAGAAGGAATAGAAGAAGAAGAGAAGAAAGGAAGAAGAAGAAGAAGAGGAAGAAGAAGAAGAGGAAGAAGAAGAAGAGGAAGAAGAGGAAGAAGAAGAGGAAGAGAAGGAAAGAGGAAGAAGAGGGAAGAGGAAGAAAGGAAGAAGAGGAAAGAAGAAGAAGAAAGGAAGAAGAAGAGAGGAAGGAGGAAGAAGAGGAAGAGGGAGGAAGAAGAGGAAGAGAGGAAGAGAGAGGAGGAGGAGAAGAAGAAGGAGGAGAGGAAGGAAGAGAGAGAAGAGGAGAGGAGAGGAAGAAGGAAGAAGAGGAGAGAGAGAGGAAGAAGAGGAAGAAGAGGAGAGGAGAGGAGAGGAAGGAAGAGAGAGGAAGGAAGAAGGAGAGGAAGAAGAGAAGAGAGGAGAAGAGGAAGAAGAGGAAGAGAGAAGGAAAGAGAGAAGAAGAGAAGAAGAAGAAGAAGGGAAGAAGAAGAAGAAGAAGAAGGAAGAGAAGAAGAGAGAAGAAGGAAGAGGAAGAAGAGAAGAGAGGGAAGAAGAAGAAGAGGAAGAAGAGGAGAGAGAGAAGAGAGAAGATGAGGAAGAAGAAGAAGGAAGAAGAAGAAGAAGAAGAGAGAGGAATGAAGAAGAGGAAAAGAGGAAGAAGAGGAAGAGAGAGGAAGAAGAGGAAGAGAGGAGAAGAGGAGAAGAAGAGAGAGAGAAGAGGAGGGAAGAAGAAGAAGAGGAAAAGAAGAAGAGAAAAAAGGGAAGAAAGGGGAAGGGGAAAAGAAAAAGGGGGGAAAAAGGGGGAAGGGGGGAGAGAAGAAGAGGGAAGAAGGGAAGAAGAAAGAAGAAGAGGGGAAGAAGGGGAAGAAGGGAAGGGAAGAAGAAAAGGGAAAAGGAAGAGAAGAAGAGGGAAAAAAAGAAGGGGAAAGGGGAAGAGAAAAAGAGGAAAAAAGGGGAAGGGAAAGGAGGAAAAGAGGAGGGAAAGGGGAAAAGGAGGAGGAAAAAAGGAGGGGGGGAAGAGGAAGAAGAAGGGGAGGGGGGAGGAGGGGGGGGGGGAAGAGAGAGGAGGAGGGGAGGAGGAAGAGGAAGGAAGGAAGAAGGGAAAAAGAAGAAAGAAAGAAGAAGAAGAAAGAAAAGAAAAGAAAGAAGAAGAAGAAGAAGGCGGGTACAAGTGAGTTGAACAGTTCCTTGTAAATCTTAAATGTAATACCGATTGCAAAAAAACCTCCCACGGGGGGATAGAACCTACGACGAGATCTAAAACTCCAGCCCCGGTCGGGGTTTTTGGACTCTCTGATCGGGGTTTTATCCCCGTCCATGGTATGGTTTTTTTCCTGTGCTATATTTTTTTAAAGAATTTCTTATGTTTTTATTAAAAGAAATTTGGGAAAAAAAAATTAATCCCCATTTGCACTTGTATTTGTATATTCCTCTTTATTTTTTTTGTAGTCACATTATTTATTTTCAACCATTCAAACAGTTTTCTTCTACACATTTTTTCTTTTGATTCAGTTTGTGTACCTGAGTCCCCCAAAATTAAATTTTTCAGAAAGGGTGTTCGAGTGCCGATACCCCAAAAGAATTTGTTCCCCAAAAGGAAAATGTAAGTTTGATTTGTCCATTTCGGCCCTAAAAAACACTTACAAAAATTACCTCACATAAATTTTTCGAATTGGAGCTGTTTGAAAAATCGAGGTACCACTGTACCTATATTAATTTCTGAATGTTTTTGTTACAGTAGTAGGCCTTACTTAAAGGAGGGGGGGGAAAGTTGCAGTTAGAGGGTCTATAGAATAGTGATATCTGCACACTTTTGGCAAGACACTTAGTGAATGATGATGAATGTGTTTCATTCTTTGGGCCACCCTGCTTAGGTGGGAAACAACCAGTATGGTACAAATTAAGATGTTCCAGAATTAGAACTCTTAATCAGTGTTGATTTTTAAATACATGGTCTCTCATACAGGGTATACTGCTCGTGTTCATAGTTTTAATTATTCAACAAAAATGCAAATAAAATGTAGCATGAAATTTTTGTTTAATTTCAGCTTTTGAGGGTGCAGATGGATCAGTTCAGTGCTGCAGTGGTGACAGTGATGCTCACTTATGTTTTGAATTAATGGAAGACAAGGAACTGGATACAGGCGTGGCAGCGATGCAGCCATTTTCATGTTTACCAGCACGGATGGCTGTCTCAATGAGGTCAGTGCACATATGTCTTAACGTCAGTGCAAATATGTTTTAACTTCTTAGGATGTACTGTGCCACATTTTATTCTGTAATAGACTATGATTTTTTATTAATAGCAAAAGTTTTATATGCAGTATATGTATTAGTACTGTGAAGGTTCTTGAGGGAAGCTGTTGCTATTAACAGGGAGGAAAAATCTAGGAAGTAAACTATGTTTATGTAACCTTGAAGGATGGGAGGGAGGTTAAGTGCTATACCTCAATGCTGGCGAAGGGTTCTTGATCCAAGAAATTGATCTACTCTTCCCTTCTTTGGGTTTAACCTGATTACCTTCCATTTCCCAGGTGATATTTGACTAGTCTCAGCACTTCTCAATTAACCCTTTGACTGTTGAAGGGCCCAATCCTGAAGTGTCTCCTGGTGTCGCAAAATATTCGAAAAAAAAAAAAATTATTTTTTCTTATGAAAATGTTAAGATTATTTTTCTGATTGTTTTAGTCCCCAAAAAAAAAATTTTCCCATCAGTACTTACCGCTATATAGAGTCCTGAAGTTTGCTGAAATTGATCTACTAGCGGCAACAGCGGCGACTGCCGCTCACCCGGTAAACTTTGATTTACTTGTATTCGATGGTTTCTTGTTTTTTTTCACTTTTTTTTTTCACATAACTTTTGTGGCCTGTGAGACCAAATTATTGTGCAATGTTCAAATATACTTTCGTTGAATGTAACACAATTATAGCAAAAACACTCGTATCATTATAATGTTGCTAAAACTTGTTTACACAAACAAACAATGTAAACAAATGTTTATTATGATTGTTTTATAATATATATACATCTGTACAATCACTGGACACTTTTCTAGAAGTGCTGCAGCTTGTGGAATTCTTTGAAACATGGGTATAAGCACAATGGTGTCTTACACTCCTCACACATAAAACGAGTGTCTCTGCGTTTTTGTGGGTGTTTTGTGGTATGTCCATAGACAAAACACCTCTTCTGAGCATTTTTCTTGGCAGTAGTAGCAGGCAGTGGTATGGGGTAGTGATCACCAGGCCTCAGACGAGAGGACATGTGTTGATAATTTCGTGGGCGCTGGTCTATTGCAGGTGTTGTTTCTTGGTACCTGAATATTATTTGTCTGATGACTGACAAACAAAATTCACCATATTTGGGTTTCTTCTTGGTCTTCAACTTATACATATTATAAGCATTCAGCATGGAAATATCAAGATGGAAAAACAGTTTTATGTACCACTTATAACTCTTGCGAACACAGTCAGCAAACCCAATCTGCATGTCACATTTGTCCACTAAGACCATATTGAGGTTGTAATCCATCACAGCTGCAGGTTTTACAATGGGTTCATTGGTCTCTCTATTCTGCTTGCCAGTGTCTACCATTTCGTGTCGGTGAACTGATGTCAGCAGTGTGACATCACGTTTGTCATGCCACTGAAATGCCATGATGTCATTGGCAGCAAACACCTGCACTTCACCTCTACGACTGCCAGCATCGAACCTAGGCATATGTTTACGATTTCTATCGCACTGTGCCACACACATCTGTCATGTTCACTTGCAAGAAATCACTGAGTATAGGGCTTGTGTACAGTTGTCAGTATATAAAATATGCCCCTTACCAAGATATGGCTCCATCATTGTTCTAACCACATCACCAGATGATACCCAGTAACTTCCTGGTATCTTCCATTGCTTTATGCCAGTGTACACAATTATATCCAAAACCAGACCAGTTTTGCAATCACACAGAACAAATAACTTTATACCAAAGCGTTTCCTCTTGCTTGGTATATACTGCTTGAATGAGAGTCTTCCTTCGAACAAAATCAAAGACTCATCAATAACAAGCTTCCTGAAGGGATAAAAATACATACAGCACTTTTGTTTCAGGTACATAAACACACGTCTGATCTTATATAACCTGTCGCTTCTGTCAGGCCTGGTTTTGTCTGAAAAGTGTAACATACGTAACAGTAACACAAATCTATTCACTGGTATGTCGCTGAAAGCAGGGGTTGAAATCAGGCGGTCTATCGCCCAGTATGTGTTGACACTATGCTTATACACATGTGGCATAAGCATTATTGTGGCAAAGAACAGATACATCTCTGCCACAGTTGTGTCCTTCCACTGGTGTAGGCATGATCTTGGTGACAGAATAGTGTTTGCCATGGTGTACTCATAGTATGTATTGCTTTCCCTGACAATAATGTCCATCAGGGGTTCATCAAAGAACAACTGAAAGCATTCCAGTTCAGTGGGATTGTTCCCAAGTGTACATGATGGCCGTATTCCACTTTGTCCTCCATCAAAGTCATGGGGATTGGGAACAAACTCGTCATCTTGCTGCCAATCCCAGATACGGTCAGCTGGTGCGTTCTAGATATTGTAATGTGGTTGTGGTTGTGCAGGTTGTGGTTGTGGTTGTGGGAGTGTGGGGTTGGGCGAGGCTGGTAGTAGCTGTGCAGAGTCAGCAGCGCGGGTAGTAGCGTGGCCCGCTGCTGGTGTCACATAACTCATGCCACCATCACTATCACCAACACCGCCTGCTGCCTCACTCACATCATTTATACCCATCGTAACAATATCGTCATCTTCACTATCAGGACGTGGTGTAGGGCCACGGGATGTGCTCCGAGATGTACTCCTTCCTCTTGGAAGAGCATGTGGCACACTACCAGACCGCATGCGACGTCGTATATACTGCTGCTTCACTGGGGAATATTCACCCTCACTGTCACAACTAGAACTGCTTTCAATAACCTTGAAATCACTATCACTATCACTTGCACTGCTCACATCTGAGTCTTGTACACGGGCAAATAGTTTCCTCTTTCGTCTGGTACAGGTGAAACATGAACGAGCGGCCCAGCACAGAGGTGGAAGGTTGTGGGTCATCTGGGTTTTCATCACTAATTATGTTATCCTGGGTAATTTTCTCGGTCACACCCGCTTCAAAACCAGGGAATTCACTTTCACTGACACTATCATCACTGTCTGAGCTATCACTTGGGAACAAAAGACCTCCAATCCGCCGAGGAGTGAGGAACTTCTTACCGCGAGGCATGGTGAAAATGGACTACCAAGATGGCGTTCCCACAATGCACCGCTGGGTCCCAGATTTTTTTCACAGGGTGCATACTGACCACTGAGACCCATTCTCTCTCATGTAGGCCTACCAGCCCTCTCCCACTTGATTTGAAGCCGCTAGAATTTATGCGTATAGATACGTCAAACACGGTATCTCCCATGACGTATATATACGACAGCGACAGTCAAAGGGTTAATAATAATACTCGTGTAAATGATGGTGAAAGCATTTTTTTTTTTTGGTAACCCTGCCTTGGTAGGAGATAGCCAGTGTGTTAAAAAATTTAATTATAATGATAATAATACAGCCTCTCCTCACTTAACAACGGAGTTTGATTCCTGAGACCACGTTGTTAAACGAATTCGTCGCTAAGCGAGGAGCATACTATAATGGTAGTGAGTTTGTGTCAGCCATCTTTGATATTGTTTTCATGTCACCTTTGCACCATTTATAACATTTCTGGCATATTTGTAAATGCTTATACAGTAGTGTACTGTATATTGAAATAAACAGAATAGAGGAAATCAGCTCTAATATACATTATTTATGTATGAATACTGGTCAGGGAGCTCATCATAAGTCCAAGGCATCGGTTAACAAGTGCATCACTAAGTGAGAAAAGGCTGTAATAACAATAATAATTTTCCATGGGGAAGAGGAAAAAAATCTTTCCTCCATAATCCATTTGTGTTGTGAGAGGAGGCTAAAATGCTGGGAGCAAAGGGCTAATAACCCCATCTCCTATATAAATTATTAAAATCAAGAAGAAAAATGGGTCACCCTGCCTTGGTGGGAAATGGCTGATGTGTTAAAAATAATAATAATAATAATAATAATAATAATAATAATAATACCCTAGAGGTGGTAAGTACAGTGCCTGCATTCTAAAGGAGGGATGGGAATATTTGCAGTTTGGAAGGGCAACCTAACTGTACTACCTACACACCTCTGGCAAGACAGTAATAGAATAAATGATGGTGAAGGTGTTTCTTTTTCAGGTCACCCTACCTTGGTGGATGACAGCCAGTATTTAAAAAAAAAAATAATACCCAGCTTTGGCAGATGGCCAGTGAGTTACAAAAACTGATGTGCTAGTTATTTGCGAATTGTTCCATCTCTAGTACAGTATTGTCTTTTTTTTTTTTTTTTAAACACACCGGCCATATCCCACTGAGGCTGTGTGACCTAAAAAGAAAAATGAAAGTGTTTCTTTTTAAATTTGGTAATTTGTCTTTTATTCTTCGCTAATATTTTATTTATTTTCAGTACCAAGACTTGTATTAATTCTCGTTCCTGCCCTACTGACACCCATTGCTTGGCACCATCTTTAAAAAACGCCTCAAGACTTCTGCAGATAAGCAGACGAGGAATTAATGGGAAGCATAAGGAAGATGTGCTTTATCTGGGTCCTCCTGTTTATTTATATCACACTGTGACACTGACCAGTTACATCCCCAAGTTTTCTTTCCTTTCTCTCACTTGGCCCAACACAATTGAAGTATACTGTGATTATATGGTGAAGTTCTCGGGTGCTTTAGCGGTTCTTAACATGGTGCCTGTTGTATATTTGGATGGTTATTGGATTTTTGGTGCAGTCATTGATCTGTTTCTAGCTCCATGGTGTGATCAAGTGACCAGAAAAATCATTCATGTAATTGTTACGATAATTGGAACTATGTTGTTATTTTCAAATATTTTAATTGGTGTTTGGAGTATTATATAAGAAAGGCTGGAAGTGTGATATCTGGTACATTTGTAATAATATGGCATGTTCTATATGCCACGTCCAGTTTTTATGAAAGATTAGCGATGATTATGTCTCTAATAGTATCTAGTCTTATAAAACATTAGTTATGCCTCATTTTGTATGACAAAATGTAAATTTTTAGACATATGATTATATTTAAATTTATTAAATTTTTTAATATATGATGAACAAAAATATTTAGGTAGCCTGTATCCATTATATTTATTTTTCCTGGTGTTTTTACTGGGGTGGTATTTCTTCAAATGCAAATAGTTTTTACATAATAGCACATAAGCACAAGAAAGGTAAAGCCTTAATAACTAATTAAAAATCTGTGATTTTGAAGAAAGTTTATTTTTATTACAATATAATGTTTAGTTTCCTTAGTATGGGCAGAACTATGTATATATACCAAGACTACCTAACACTAAAAATGAAAATTGGTAGTACAAATCTTAAATGTTTGAAGCCTAAAATTTGCTAAAACACCCCATTGTATGTATATGTGTATATATTTATGATAGTGATTACATTTATTTCTCTCTGTGTTCCACCTCAGAAAAAAGGTAGATGGGCTACCCCTCTTCCCCATTGATGGTTATTCTTCAAATACAATAACATTTATGATTTTCTAAATTTTCTACACCTATACAGGGCTTTTTGAGTGTTTTAAAATTCGTTTTTCTTATTTTTTCATTTACTCATGCCTGATTATCATTTTTTCTACATTTCCTTTTAAATTAATATATTTGTAGTGTTATTCTTGCTCATTGTCATTTCTAAGGCATACATATGAAAAAATGACTGCTATAAATAAACTCAAATAAATGCAACAAACAAAACTGTTTGCGTATTGTTTTAGTATGTGCAAGATAAAAAAACAAGCTGATTTGTCTTGAAATGTTTTGTATGAGAACTGGCTGTTTACATGTTGTTCTGTCATTACTGACCAATATCAATTAATCTACATAATATAGTAAGCAAATATTATAGAGAATTTAAATTTTTGGATGGTATCTTGACAATGTCTCTGTATTAACCTAAACCTTATTTATTTAAAACTTTGTATTGGAATTGGCAATGTAGCCTTCATATGTAGGGGTCTCATTTTCTATGCAATGCAGTGAACATGAATGTATAAAGCTGCACCATACTCACCACGTGCATTCTCTAATGCCAGATTATGTACAGATTACGAGTTTGCTTGAAGCATGTTGTCTCCTTAGTCCGGCTCTTAGCTAACACTGGTTTAATGTGATGATTCTCTAACCTTATGAATATTGTTGTATTTACACTTGACTTATTTGTGGAGTTCACTGTGACTCTCCTACTGCATTTTATGCACTTGCTATCCTAGTGAAGAAGTGAAATTTTGCATCTAGCTGATTTAAGTATTCAGCGTCCATTTGAGTTTCTTCCTCAGTCTTGAGAACAGTTTATCTTTGCACACCCTGTTGGTGTTCCCTGAATCTCACGTATGTTGTGATTATATTTCCTGTGTCTTCTTTCTTTAAGCATTGTTAGTTTTAACTTGTAGCTCAGTCCTTTATTTCAGGGACCAGCCTGGTGGCAAATTCTGTACCTACTCAAGTTTTCTTAAGTGTTTATGAAGGTGTAGACTTCATGCCAAGAGTTGCATACAATACTCAAAAATTTATTATTACATATGATCTTAGTTGAAAGTGGTAGCTCAGAATTTTTTATTTTTTGTTAGATAATTTTTCTGAATGGATCTAAGTATGGTTGTAGACAGTCCAGATTTTTTTTTTTTTATTTTTGTTGTGATTTGCTAAGATTGTAGCAAACTGTATAGTAGAGGTTTTGCATATAAATGAGGAAGCTACTCACATCTCTATTAGTGTTTTGTGTACTAATTAGTTATTTTTCTTAACTTTATGTATTACTGTAGACAGTAACAATTTTTTTCTGATGCATCTGTGATTTTATAATTAGAAAGATAGGAATGTGGTCAGTTATCCTGTCAGTGAGTATACTTGCTTTTTGTAGGGGCAATTATGTTAGTCTATGTTTAGTCTAATGAGGAAGCATATGTTGCTGTTATTCTGGTGAATGTAGTTATCAAGGGTTTTAACAGGTAGGGATGTACACAAGGGTTTTAACAGGTAGAGATGTACACCATTTAGAAAGCTTGAGAATTTGGGATCATCTGACTGACTTAGATTACAATGCAGTCTCTAGCAATTACTGTATTACATTCTAGATCAGTGTTAGCATGTGTACACACAATTGAAATGTGAGAAGTTGAGATTAAGACAAAGTTACCCCAATGTTGCATGAAGTAAATATTTTATACCACTTTGATCATTTCCCACCTAAAAAAAAAAAAAAAAAAAAAAAAAAAAAAAATTAACCATCACTTATTCAGTAGCTATCTTCCTGAGGGCAATTCATTTACATATGTTGTAGGTATTACAGTCTATGTTATTATGGTCTGTGCTGGGTGAAGTTCAGCTCTCTTGGGATGACCATGACAGATGGAGACTAAACTAAAGTAAGCACTGCCCTGTTCATTTGCCATAATTCCATTGGCCTGGAAATTGGACCCACTTGTGGCACTGCAACCCTAAGTTGGGCAACATGCTTCTTTGATGGGGGATATAGGTCAAATGGGAGGTTTAGTAATGGCCTTGCTGAATCAATGGCTGATTTTGCACTGCTGCTCAGTCTGGTGGAGAGCATCAGTGATTGGGCACCCTTTTGGTCCTGTGGCTACATTTAGTTCTCTATTGGTCACTCGCTTATTCCTCTCTATTAGCCCTGGGATCATTTGTTTTAGTAAATATTTAAACATTTTCTTGTTGGAATTGATAGTGGGTTGAGCCAAACTTATTGTTTTTTGAGTATTAGTAATTCCCCTGCACCATTATTGGATACAACTGATTTCTCTTAACTTGTAAGTCATTCTTGTGACACCCTACTGCATTCCTCTTGCTCTACAGTCAAGACAACTACTGCTATTTCATATCCTGCACATGATACTTCTTGGCCTTCACCCCACTGTAATCATAAGAAGTTTCCACTTTAGGTTCCATTACTTCTACATGAGATGTATAGCCCACAGACTTGCTCAGAATTTTTTAAAATTCAGTCCAGTGATACTTCGGATGTGCTCTGCAGTTATGGTCAGTAAAGTGATATAGACAGCATGTGACCCAAGGGGTCACTTTCTATTTCCAGAACAGAGGGGGATGTGTAGTATGGGTTAATGATGCTACTGTATGTTTGGTAATCACCAGCACTCTGAAGAGTTGTAGAATGATCCTCCTGATTAGCCATTACTGCATAATTAACTCATAATACTGTATATGCATAAATGGGCTATAGTGCACAACAAAGGCAATTAGATGATGATATATTGGGTGTTTGTTAACTAAATGCCTCTCAAGAAAAGAGAATCTAATCAACATGGATATTGTATTATTCCTGGTGGTCATGTTTTTGATAAATAATTTTAGTAAGAGATTTTTAAACTGAAAACTTTCATTTTAGCCATGAGTCATGAAAATACAGTAAAACTAAAAGTTCAATACCATGACTGGAACATCACAGTAAAATCAAAACCTAAACCATACAAACTGAACAATGTGTCAGACTATCCTGAGAATGGTCTAGGATGGATGGAATCAGTCTTAATTTTTATTTCCAATTTATGGGTTTGTTGTGAATGGGGATTTTCTTGGCCTTATCACTTAAATAACTGTTAATCTCATTTGTTACTTAAATTTTTGTTTTATATAGTTGTCAGTGTTACAGTAATTTCTGCACCGTATACTTGGTGGGTTGCTAGTTATATCACCAATTTCAAAACTTAAACCTAAGGTACCTGGTTATGTTGGTGATCTTTTCTTCTTGGTGCTGCATAATTGTGGGCTTTTTGTATTGTGCAGTTTTTTATGTACCTCTGGAAAAAAATACAGGTATTGTTTATATATAAATAAAGGCTATCCAGTCTAGTGGCATGTTTAGTAGTGTTATCGACACCTGGATGTTTCCAAATTGCTGGGAGATGCAGAACTTTGTTCATTGGTAAATCAATCTGGTTACATTTTTCATATTGTCTGTGGAACAGTTCTTGGATATGTACACAAGTCAGACAAGCATCCATTGTCTTGAGGATGAGATTCCATGCATTAAATATCTATGTACAGTACTGTGAGCACTAGCTAATCTTGTTGATTATAGCAGCACAATGATATTTTGATATTAATTGATGTAATATTCTTTAAATTCTAATGCATATATTTATGGATATATTAAAAAGTTCAGTGCTCTCATTTATGCTTTCATTAGTGTTTGACTTAGGGAAGACCAGGGCTAGTTGGCACACTTTTTACATTTCCGGTGCTGAAAGAAAAACAACAAACGATTTTAGTAATTTTATACTTCCAGTGAAAAATATAAATCTTCATCTTACATTTCAAGAAATAAAAAAATAATTTTCTTTTGAAACAAAAGCACAGCATTCTTTAGAAAAAAAAAAATTCCCGTGTGCCAACATGCCCCGTGTATGGGGTAAGTTGGCACAGCAAATGGTAATAGTAAATTAGGAATATGTAACAGTAAATTTAGATACTGATTATTCATAATGTTTCATTTCAAGAATATTCAGTTCCATAGAAACTTAAAAATCTTGCCTTAGAAAACAAAGAAACCTTTTTTAATAAAATAAAATTAAAAGCTGACTAGGTGTTATACATTCAATTGAAAATAATTGCACTTCCAGATAATAATTGCACAGAATACTTAACACCTGAGGTGAACTTAATCAAAATCATCATCTGAGTCACAGTTGGGGCATGTATAAAACAATTCTTCATCAGTGCCGGCTTCGTGGGCCCTCAACTTGCACATTCTACACTGTATCCATACTTCTCGTGGTTTGCTTTTGGAAAAAGGACCCATACATACCAAACAGAGACTGTCCTCTCCATCTGAACTTTCCTCGTCACCATGAACATGTTTCGATTTCTTTGATTGTTTCTTCTTTGCTTCTTTTGATATCTTTTCCAGTGTCTTTTTCGCTGGTGTGTCAGTCAAAATGCCAATGCCAATTTGCCCCATTTTTGTTGAGTCAACTTGCCCCAACCATACCAATGTTCATAAATAAATGGTTTTAGTATATATTAATAAACCTAATATAAACTGTTTCATGGGTAAACAATCCTTAAACCCTAAGTTAAATTATGACTAAATTGGATATTTCTCATCTACAACCCCATACATGTTACAGCAAACAATACAAGCGAATGATAATTTACTTACCGGCATCAAAATCAAATTTTTCCCCACTCCAGTTAAGTATTGCAACCTCTTGGTATGGTAGCTTGTTGGTGAATGAGGAAGCACGTGGGGATCCTATGATGTGAATAACAATGCCGTCTAGCGGTAAATATTTGAAATATTACAAGTGTGTCAACTTACCCTTGTTGCCAACTAGCCCTGGTCTCCCCTACTCTTAATTGGTAAATTTCATTTTAAGATCTGTGTATAAAATTAATATTTTTTCTGTTATTACTTTTCATTTTTATATATGGTTATTGAACAAAGTACTCTTATATGAAATATAAAATTGTAGTAATAGTTAAAAATAATGATATTCTTTAAATGCCTTTTTTAAATTGAAATAGAGCTAATATATTTCTTAATACAGTATCAAGAAAAACATTATTGATTATTTTGGTGATTTTTATTGGCATTTCATCCTCAGTTAATATGAACCTAAATTAGAATTTCCTTACTCATGTGTACTGTTTAAATTATAATCAGTCCCTGTTTTATAATAGTCTCTGAGAACGTAATTTTCCGTCTGTAATTTTTCCATTAGGCTTTTATTAGACTGTCTGCATTGCATTGCCACTCTTATTGACTTGATAAACTGATGAAATTAGAAGTTATGTACCATTAACTTGGCATCACCTAAGTTGACATGTGATAAATATCTCATAATAAAAGACATGCAAGGGTGCTGAAAGCTAAAATTGGAAGAAATTAATCCAGTTGTGATGTGAGATACCATTAAACTCATTAGTTAAATAACTGATTAAGGACCAAATTTCACTGATATTAATTTGCTTTTAGGTGCATGAAATGACCTGTATTTAAGCAGCACTTGGTGCTGCTTAAATACAGGTCATGTGTAATAAATATTACAAATGTTTAGATTTATTTACTACACTATACATCTGAAGACTACACAAATAACCCGCACATAGAAGAGAGGAGCTTACGACGACGTTTTGGTCCGACTTGGACCATATACAAAGTCAGTGTGACTTCGTAAATGGTCCAAGTCAGACCGAAACGCCGTCGTAAGCTCATCTCTTCTATGTGCGGGTTATTTGTGTATTGTTCCAGTAATGGTATTATGCCTTTTCTTGTTATGTACTTCTGAAGACTATTATGAATTGTCAAAATGTGGAGGAAAACCAAGTTTTTCATTTATTGCACAAATATGATTAATATTTTACTTATTTTTAAAGAAATTTAAAGCATGTTTGGCAAAAATATTATAATGGGAAAATATATTAATGTATACGGAGCAAGTTCTTGTTGATGTCTTTCCCTGCCAGCCCACCCTCCATTAATTCCCATCATGCTTGGCACAAAATCATTCCAAAAAAAAAAATAAGTGAAAATGTATAATCTTAGAGATTTGCTGTATACCAAAACACTGAATACAATCTACACCATGTTTTACTATAATATATATGGCAAGAACTATAGTATGTTCTGGGACTTTGGCTTTAACTTCTGTATAAGTTTATATGTTTCAAGTATTAATTTGAAATTTTTAATAATTTTTTAATGCAGCACAGTACAAATAATCTTTGCTTAATGAGAGTTCAATGTACAGTATGTATTACAAGTTGATATCTATACAAATGCTGTGCAACAAAATTAGATTTGACAATGGCAATCATGGCAGCAGTTTGCCTTGCTAGTGAAGGCCCACATTTGTTTACCCAAGCACACGTGCTTGTCAAACAAAAACATGAAAATGTCTAATGCTAGGTGGTGGTGGAAGGTGACAAACTTACTTTCTAGTGCATTTTAAACTTGTATTACCAATGTCTTTTAAGCTAGCCAACACTAATTAGAAAAGGTAGGGATATTACAGCCTGAAGAGGCATCGGAGCTGTTATGTCTGCACACCTCTGGCAAGACAGTGAGAGTAAGTGACGGTGAAAGTGTTTCTTCTTTTTTGGGGAGGGGATCACATTATTATTATTATTATTATCACGCTGGCCAATTCCCACCAAGGCAGGGTGGCCCGAAAAAGAAAAACTTTCACCATCATTCACTCCATCACTGTCTTGCCAGAAGGGTGCTTTACACTACAGTTTTTAAACTGCAATATTAACACCCCTCCTTCAGAGTGCAGGCACTGTACTCCCCATCTCCAGGACTCAAGTCCGGCCTGCCGGTTTCCCTGAATCCCTTCATAAATGTTACTTTGCTCACACTCCAACAGCATATCAAGTATTAAAAACCATTTGTCTCCATTCACTCCTATCAAACACACTCACGCATGCCTGCTGGAAGTCCAAGCCCCTCGCACACAAAACCTCCTTTACCCCTCCCTCCACCTTTCTAGGCCAACCCCTTCCCCGCCTTCCTTCCACTACAGACTGATACACTCTTGAAGTCATTCTGCTTCGCTCCATTACTCTCTACATTTTCCGAACCACCTCAACAACCCTTCCTCAGCCCTCTGGACAACAGTTTTGGTAATCCCGCACCTCCTCCTAACTTCCAAACTACGAATTCTCTGCATTATATTCACACCACACATTGCCCTCAGACATAACATCTCCACTGCCTCCAGCCTTCTCCTCGCTGCAACATTCATCACCCACGCTTCACACCCATATAAGAGCGTTGGTAAAACTATGCTCTCATACATTCCCCTCTTTGCCTCCAAGGACAAAGTTCTTTGTCTCCACAGACTCCTAAGTGCACCACTCACTCTTTTTCCCTCATCAATTCTATGATTCACCTCATCTTTCATAGACCCATCCGCTGACACGTCCACTCCCAAATATCTGAATACATTCACCTCCTCCATACTCTCTCCCTCCAATCTGATATTCAATCTTTCATCACCTAATCTTTTGTTATCCTCATAACCTTACTCTTTCCTGTATTCACCTTTAATTTTCTCCCCTTAATGGGAGATAAATACACACACACACATATATATATATATATATATATATCATGACATTATACAAGATGCACTAAAGAGATAAATTTGTGGTGATAACATGGAAAATTAGATGTATATTTGGGATATTTGCTGTTTAGAGTGACATCTAAACTGTAGTATCTGAGTGCTGAGGCAAACACAGTGATAGTGTGAATGGTGAAACTTTTTCTTCTTTTTTTTGGGGAGGGGGGGGGGTCACCCTTCCTCAGTGGGAGACTGCCAGCATGTTTTTTTTTTAAGCACAGTACATAGGAAATTAATAGGGTTCTCAGTGATATAAAATAGTATATTAAAGTTTATCATAAAAATCAAAATCATCATCAGAACCATCTTCTCCTGCACTGACACCATATGATTCTGAATCAGATGCCAAGTTCAGCTGGAGAGCTGCAGGTGCATGCATTTTGTTGTGAGTAATTCCAATTCCAGGCTTGATAATTTCCTTTGGTGATTCTGGAACTGGTTGGGAACGTAAGCCGCCTTGTGAGGACAATTGACGAGGCTGAGCTGGAGGAGCAGCATCAGATGGCTGATCTGTATATCATATTGCTAGTGTTATTATACATATAGTATTGGCAAAAAATTATAGCTAAACCCATTTGGATCATTCAGAGCTTTGCATATTATAAAATCATTAACCCATTTAAAATTAAGTGATCTAACAAACAGCTTCCTGCTCAAATGAGATGACCTGTAATAAACTATGTAAATTTAGAAATGAAAAGGGAAGGAGTATTACTCCAGCTATGCTACAGTAATTTATTCTTCATGAGTATTACCACAAGCATTATATTTAAACTGCAGGTAGTAGTTTTTATTCAAATAAATACGTAATTGACTGTGTTTTAATTAATTTTTCAAGAGAAACTGAGATAATGGCATTTGAATTGTGGACACTACATTATTACTGTATTATTACATTTGTGGGGAAGCCATAAAAACATGTGGGGTATACAGTGCTTGAGAAAAGGGAGGTAATCAGGTTTGATACAAGGGAAATGTAGCTTTAATTTCTTAGATCAAGACCCCTTTACTGCCATCTAGGCACTTCCCTTGAAAGGAAGCGATACAATGAATGACTGTCTTCAAGGCAGCACTAGCTATTACCATTAAAACCTTGTCTGAATTTATTTCTAGAAGCACCTATAATTTTTAGGACTAGGCTATGACAGATCTCTACACTGTACTTTGAAAGAGGTGACAAGAGGGTAAAATGGAGGCTGAGTGTTTTAAACAATCATTACTATACAGTATTTCCCCTCAAGGAAGGTTCCTTGATGTTGGTGAGGGGCTCTTGATTTAGGGAATTGGATCTGTGCTCCAGTTCCCCGAATTAAGCCTGAATGCCTTCCACATATCCCCCCCCAGGCGCTGTATAATCCTCCGGGTTTAGCGCTTCCCCCTTGATTATAATAATAATATACAGTATTTAAGAGTATCACTGTATGACTTGCACAGGTTCATTTTTTTTTTTGTGTGTGAATTTATTAACAGTTAAAGGTTTAGTGCTTAGTTGTGATTATAATAATAATATTAATAGATAAGAGGGAGGGAGTATTTAAGCGAGTCTGTATATCCTCTACATGCTTGGTACTTAATTTTTTTTTCAAAGAGCTGGCCATATCCCGCTGTGGCAGGGTGACCTTAAAAGAAAAACAAAAGTTTTTCTTTATAAATTTAGCAATTTATACAGGAAAAGGCATTACTAGCCCCTTGCAACAGCATTTCAGTCGCCTCATATGATGTGCATGGTTTACGGAGGAAGAATTCAGTACAGTAGGACTCCTGTATTCATGGGGGATACGTTTCAAGAATCTGCCACGGATACCAAAACTGTGGATAGTAAGAAACCCTATATATAAGTCCTACATATACTTATCATAAAGTTCAATTGATAAATTATGCACAATAAGTAGAGAATTATAACTTTTTCACTGATGACTTCTTTTGCGCTTTGAAGAACAGCCAGCTTCTCTACTTTTGCGCTTTGGGGCTATTATTATGCAAATTTAAGAGGTATTTTTTGGCCACAGTAAACCGTGGATGACCAAAACCATGGATACCAAATCAGTGGATATGGGGTTCTACTGAATTAACACACGTACAGTATAATAATATTAGTAATCATGAGCCTAAGTCTTTAAACGATAATGAGACATGATACGTATTTTATATTTAATGACAAGTTTATTGCTGAATTATACCATTTTCACAAAAAAACACTAAGGGAATGGAAAAGGTAGTGAGAAGATTACAGTTCAGAAAATATATAGAGGCAGGAGAAACCATAGCTGCAGTTAACTCTCAATGAATCAGACTAAGAGGGAAGGAAGTGGATGGCCTGTAATGGTGACTGTGGTGAAAAAGTTTACTTAGGTACAGGTACATATAAATGCAGTTACATAGTTGCTGTCTACCAACCTATGTAGTAGGCTGGTAGACAGCAACCACCCGGAGAGGTACTACCATCCTACCAAGTGAGTGTGAAATGGAAACCTGTAACTGTTTTACATGATGGTAGGATTGCTAGTGTCTTTTTTTCTGTCTCATAAACAAGCGAGATTGCAGGCATGTCTTCCTACTTCTACCTACACTTAGGTCACACTACACATGCATGTACACACACCCCCTCTGGGTTTTTTCTATTTTCTTACCAGTTCTTGTTCTGGTATATTTCCTCTTATCTCCATGGGGAAAGTGGAACAGAATCTTCCTCCGTAAGCCATGCATGTCATAGGAGGTGACTAACATGCTGGGAGCAAGGGGCTAGTAACTCCTTCCCCTGTATACATTACTAAATTTAAAAAGAGAAACTTTTATTCTTCTTTTTAGGTCACCCTGTCTCAGTGAGACATAGCCAGTTTGCTAAGAAAAAAAATTATCATACATAGCAGCATATGTAGATTACCTAGGATAACCTAAGAAAGTCAGACAAAGTAACTTATTTCCATTGGGGTCCTTGAGAGGAGTTGTAGTGATTGTAACAATGGATAATTCTGTAATCCACTGACTTTGTCTATTGTTTCCGAATCAACTGATGCATGACCCTTATGGGTTTAGTTCTAAGTTTTATTATAATAATTCTGAATCACTTAGGTAGTAGGTTGGTAGACAGCAACCGCCCAGGGAGGTACTACTGTCCTGCCAAGTGAGTGTAAAACGAAAGCCTGTAATTGTTTTACATGATGGTAGGATTGCTGGTGTCCTTTTTTCTGTCTCATGAACATGCAAGATTTCAGGTACGTCTTGCTACTTCTACTTACACTTAGGTCACACTACACATACATGTACAAGCACATATATGCACACCCCTCTGGGTTTTCTTCTATTTTCTTTCTAGTTCTTATTCTTGTTTATTTCCTCTTATCTCCATGGGGAAGTGGAACAGAATTCTTCCTCCGTAAGCCATGCGTGTTGTAAGAGGCGACTAAAATGCCGGGAGCAAGGGGCTAGTAACCTCTTCTCCTGTATATATTACTAAATGTAAAAGGAGAAACTTTCGTTTTTCCTTTTGGGCCACCCCGCCTCGGTGGGATACGGCTGGTGTGTTGAAAGAAAGAAAGTAAAAGGATAAACTTTAGTTTTCCCTTTTGGGCCGCCCTGCCTCGGTGGGATACGGCCAGTGTGTTGAAAGAAAGAAAGAATTCTGAATCAACTGATCAAGTGGATTTTTTCTTGTTTTACCCCAAACCCATTAAATCAAAGGTTTACTGTAATGCCCTCCACTTCCATGGATCAAACTGAGTACATCCCATTCCCTTATGGTTTAATGCTTCCCATAAATATAATAATGCTGTAATACAATCAAGTCAGGTCCTTAAAGTAAATGGAATCACATTCATATTTTGTGAATGCACAAAATATGCATGGTAGGGACATACGAAAGATGTTACGAGGTGACAATCTCCTAAGTATACCATGATAATGAATAATTATCAGTTGTTGCTTCATAAGGGATCTCCAAATAAAGGTATGTATTAGGAGAAAACTGAGGAAACATAGGGGTAACTACTATCCCTTCCCACCCTGAAGACTGGCTGGCCTACTGCCTTATCTCCACTACAGAATGTGACCCTTCAAGGACCCTTGAAGAACTCTTGATTAAAGGAGCTAGAGCTATTCTTCCCTTCCTTGGAATGAATTGTATTACCTCTAATTCCCCAGGCACTACATGATCTCTATGCATCAAGTACTTGCTCAAATGTAATTATAATGAAGTTAAAGATTATTAATGGACACAAAAAGGAGCACGAACCATATTTTTTTTAACATACTGGCTGTCTCCCACTAAGGTGGGGTAACCCAAAAAGGAGGAAACATTTCCATGGTCATTCATTCAGTCACTGTTTTCCCAGAAGCTGACATCCCAGATCAAATGATCCTCTGAATTGCAACATTCTCACCACTCCTTTAGAGTGAAGGCACTGTACTCCCTACCTCCAGGACAAGCTTAGCTAACTGGTTTCCTTGAATTCCTTCATAAATGTTACTTTGCTCATACTCCACCAGCATATCAAATCATAAATTATTATTATTATAATCAAATTCAGCACTAAACACTCCACTAACTCCTGTTTAACATGCTCGCACAACCTTATTGGTTGTCCAAGTCCCTAGCAATCAAAACCTTCCTTACTCCCTCCATCCATTCCTTTCAATGATGACCCCTACCCCTACCTCTCTAAATGTCCAAACCACCTCAACAATCCCTCCTCTGCCCTCAGATTATTTAAAAAGAAAAGTCTGGGTGCAGTGAAGGTATGTTGGAAATCAAAGTTTGGCGTGAATATTATAGATGATTACCATAAGGAGTGAAGAAATTAGAAAATGGTTTGGTGGTATGAAAGGTATAATTCAGGAAGTCAAGTTCATTTCTACTACAGTATTCTAATAATGAATCCCACGAGCCATTTAGTATAAAGATTGTGATAAATAGGAAACATTAATCATACCTTTTTTATTTTTCAATGCTGCTTGTATGGCTGCCTCCACACTGTCAACGCTGTCTGTATCAGTTTCTGGTGGTTGAGGCCTTAGAGATGGGATGCTGGATGCAAATGGCTTGAATGTTGATCTATTAATGGTGCAAGAAAATAAATTATTTAATATGTATGTATTTTAATATGTATATATGTATGTGTGTTGGGGATTTCAATGCTAAAGTGGGTAAAAATGTTGTGGAGGGAATAGTAGGTAAATTTGGGGTGCCAGGGGTAAATGAAAATGGGAAGCCTTTAATTGAGCTATGTGTAGAAAGAGGTTTGGTAATAAGTAATACATATTTTATGAAAAAGAGGATAAATAAATATACAAGGTATGATATAGCACGTAATGAAAGTAGTTTGTTAGATTATGTATTGGTGGATAAAAGGTTGATGGGTAGGCTCCAGGATGTACATGTTTATAGAGGGGCAACTGATATATCAGATCATTATTTAGTTGTAGCTAGTGTTAGAGTAAGAGGTAGATAGGACAAGAGGAAAATGGCAACAACAAGTGAGAGAGAGAGGTGAAAGTGTATAAACTAAGGGAGGAGAAAGGTCAGGTGAGATATAAGCAACTATTGGCAGAAAGGTGGGCTAGTGCAAGTATGAGTAGTGGGGAGGTTGAAGAGGGTTGGAATAGTTTTAAAAAATGCAGTATTAGAATATGGGGCAGAAGTTTGTTATAGGAGGGTGGGTGCAGGAGGAAAGAGAAGTGATTGGTGGAATGATGAAGAAAAGGGTGTGATAAAAGAGAAAAAGGTAGCTTATGAGAGGTTTTTACAAAGCAGAAGTGTTATAAGACGAGCAGAGTATACAGAGAGTAAAAGAAAGGTGAAGAGAGTGGTGAGAGAGTGCAAAAGGAGAGCAGATGATAGAGTGGGAGAGGCACTGTCAAGAAATTTTAATGAAAATAAGAAAAAATTTTGGAGTTAAACAAGTTAAGAAAGCCTAGGGAATGAATGGATTTGTCAGTTAAAAACAGAGTAGGGGAGTTAGTTCACAAATAACCCGCACATAAAAGAGAGAAGCTTACGACGACATTTCGGTCCGACTTGGACCATTGACAAAGTCACAGTGTGACTTTGTCAATGGTCCAAGTCGGACCGAAACGTCGTCGTAAGCTTCTCTCTTTTATGTGCGGGTTATTTGTGTATCGTTCCAGTCATGGTATTGTGCCTTTTTTGTTATTTAGGGGAGTTAGTAGATGGGGAGATGGAGGGAATATTTTGAGGAACTTTTAAATGTCGACGAAGAAAGGGAGGCGGTATTTTCATGCATTGGCCAGGGAGGTATAGCATCTTTTAGGAGTGAAGAAGAGCAGGATGTGAGTGTGGGGGAGGTGCTTGAGGCATTACGCAGGATGAAAGGGGGTAAAGCAGCTGGAACTGACGGGATCATGACAGAAATGCTAAAAGCAGGGGGGGATGTAGTGTTGGAGTGGTTGGTATTTTTGTTTAATAAATGTATGAAAGAGGGGAAGGTACCTAGAGATTGGCAGATAGTGTGTCTAGTCCCTTTATAAAGAGATTGTAAAAATTATAGAGGAATAAGTGCATGGTAGGGTTATTATTGAAAGAATTAGAGGTAAGACAGAATGTAGAATTGCGGATGAGCAAGGAGGTTTTAGAGTGGGTAGGGGATGTGTAGATCAAGTGTTTACATTGAAGCATATATGTGAACAGTATTTAGATAAATGTAGGGAAGTTTTTATTGCATTTATGGATTTAGAAAAGGCATATGATGGAGTGGATAGGGGAGCAATGTGGCAGATGTTGCAAGTACAGTGGAGCCCCGGTTAACGATATTTTTTCATTCCAGAAGTATGTTCAGGTGCCAGTACTGACCGAATTTGTTCCCATAAGGAATATTGTGAAGTAGATTAGTCCATTTCAGACCCCCAAACATACACGTACAAACGCACTTACATAAATACACTTACATAATTGGTCGCATTGGGAGGTGATCGTTAAGCGGGGGTCCACTGTATATGGAATAGGTAGTAAGTTACTAAATGCTGTAAAGAGTTTTTATGAGGATAGTGAGGCTCAGGTTAGAGTGTGTAGAAGAGAGGGAGACTACTTCCTGGTAAAAGTAGTTCTTAGACAGGGATGTGTAATGTCACCATGGTTGTTTAACATATTCATAGATAGGGTTGTAAAAGAAGTAAATGCTAGGGTGTTTGGAGAGGGGTGGGATTAAATTATGGGGAATCAAATACAAAATAGGAAGTGACACAGTTACTTTTTTGCCAATTATACTGTGCTTATTGGAGATTCTAAAGAAAAGCTGCAAAGGTTAGTGGACGAATTTGGGAGTGTGTGTAAAGGTAGAAAGTTGAATGTGAACATAGAAAAGAGTAAGGTGATGAGGGTATCAAATGATTTAGATAAAGAAAAATTGGATATCAAATTGGGGAGGAGGAGTGTAGAAGAAGTGAACGTTTTCAGATATTTGGGCGTTGACGTGTCAGCGGATGGATTTATGAAGGATGAGGTTAATCATAGAGGTATATGTGGAGACAAAAAATGTTATCTATGGAGGCAAAGAAGGGAATGTATGAAAGTATAGTAGTACCAACACTCTTATATGGGTGTGAAGCTTGGGTTGTAAATGTTGCAGCGAGGAGGCGGTTGGAGGCAGTGGAGATGTCCTGTCTAAGGGCAATGTGTGATGCAAATATTATGCAGAAAATTTGGAGTGTGGAAATTAGGAGAAAGTGTGGAGTTAATAAAAGTATTAGTCAGAGGGCTGAAGAGGGGTTGTTGAGGTGGTTTGGTCATTTAGAGAGAATGGATCAAAGTAGAATGACATGGAGAGCATATAAATCTGTAGGGGAAGGAAGGTGGGGTAGGGGTCGTCCTCAAAAAGGCTGGAGGGAGGGGGTAAAGGAGGTTTTGTGGGTGAGGGGCTTGGACTTCCAGCAAGCGTGCATGAGCATGTTAGATAGGAGTGAATGGAGACGAATGGTATTTGGGACCTGACAAGCTGTTGGAGTGTGAGCAGGGTAATATTTAGTGAAGGGATTCAGGGAAACCGGTTATTTTATACAGCTGGGCTTGAGTCCTGGAAATGGGAAGTACAATACCTGCACTTTAAAGGAGGAGTTTGGGATATTGGCAGTATGGAGGGATATTTTGTGTATCTTTATACGTATATACACTGTACTTCTAAACTGTTGTATTCTGAGCACCTCTGCAAAAACAGTGCTTATGTGTGAGTGAGGTGAAAGTGTTGAATGATGATGAAAGTATTTTCTTTTTGGGGAACTGGATCTGTGCTCCAGTTCCCCGAATTAAGCCTAAATGCCTTCCACATCCCCCCCCAGGTGCTGTATAATCCTCCGGGTTTAGCGCTTCCCCCTTGATTATAATAATAATAATAATAATTTGGGGATTTTCTTTCTTTTTGGGTCACCCTGCCTTGGTGGGAGATGGCCGACATGTTAAAAAAAAAATAGTATGTGTATGTACTCACCTAATTGTATTCACCTAATTATGGTTCCAGGGGTCAAGACTCAGCTCCTGGCCCTGCCTCTTCACTGAGTGCTACTAGGTCCTCTCTCCCCCTGCTCCATGAGCTTTATCATACCTCATCTTAAAGCTATGTATGGTTCCTGCCTCCACTACCTCACTTGCTAAGCTCTTCCACTTCCTGACTACTCTATGACTGAAGAAATACTTCCTAACATCCCTTTGACTCATCTGGGTCTTCAACTTCCAATTGTGACTACTTGTTTCTGTGTCCCCTCTCTGGAATATTCTGTCTCTGTCCACCTTGTCTATTTCATGCAGTATTTTGTATGTTATCATGTCTCCCCTAACCCTCCTGTCCTCCAGTGTCATCACACCGATTTCCCTTAACCTTTCTTCGTAGGACATTTCCCTTAGCTCTGGAACCAGCCTTGTTGCAAACCTTTACACTTTCTCTAATTTCTTGACATGTTTGACCAGGTGTGAGTTGATGAATTAGACACATGTACAATTCTTGGGTAACTTTATTGAGGAAACGGTTTGCCACACAGTGGCTTCATCAGTCTATACAAAGGAGAAATGTGAAGAACAGGAGGAGAATGAGGTAATCAGTCCCTCAACCATTCATCTACAATCCTGACTTAAGAAATCGTAATGACACGATTGCAAATAAACCATACCCCCGACCGGGATTGAACCCGCGGTCATAGAGTCTCAAAACTCCAGCCCGTCGCGCTAGCCACTAGACCAGCTAGCCACAATAAGATTCATCCAACTAGGTATATTTCTACACCATAGGAAAGTTAGCACAGGCACCTCTGTGACCACAAATGCAAGTTTTTACAGACGAATCTCCAGCTAGCGTGGCCGTGACGAACTCTAGCTCAAGTCCCTTCACTGCCGTCAACATGACTTAAGAAATCGTAATGACACGATTGCAAATAAACCATACCCCCGGCCGGGATTGAACCCGCAGTCATAGAGTCTCAAAACTCCAGCCCGTCGCGCTAGCCACTAGACCAGCTAGCCACAATAAGATTCATCCAACTAGGTATATTTCTACACCATAGGAAAGTTAGCACAGGCACCTCTGTGACCACAAATGCAAGTTTTTACAGACGAATCTCCAGCTAGTTGGATGAATCTTATTGTGGCTAGTGGTCTATGCATAGCGCGACGGGCTGGAGTTTTGAGACTCTATGACCGCGGTATCAATCCCTGGCCGGGGGTATGGTATTTGCAATCGGTCATTACGATTTCTTAAGTCATGTTGACGGCAGTGAAGGGACTTGAGCTAGAGTCGTCACGGCACGCTAGCTGGAGATTCTTTCTGTAAAAACTTGCATTTGTGGCACAGAGGTGCCTGTGCAAACTTTCCTATGGTGTAGAAATATACCTAGTTGGATGAATCTTATTGTGGCTGTGGTCCAGTGGCTACGACGGGCTGGAGTTATTGAGACTCTATTGACCGCGGTTTCAATCCCGGCCGGGGATGGCTTTTTTGCAAATCGTTACATTACTATTTCTTACATGTTTGACCAGGGGAAGGTTGATAAAAGTTGCACATGTACAATTCGTCTGTAAAAACTTATTTGAGGAAAGTGCCTTTGCCACTCATGGTTCAAAATCATCCTATAGAAATGGGCAGAAGGGTCTAGGACAGGGGGGCTGGAGTTTGAACTCTATCCCTCAACCATTCATCTACAATCCTGTCAGACACTGCAACTTCTTGGGATCTTAATACTTGGGAATTCTTCGCTTGCCTAATCCTTGGGCACGACCTACTTCTACACTGGACAAATGTGACACCACCTACGACTGCTGCACCTCTCCTGCCTATGGTATATAAGCTACTTCTCCGCACATATGCTGTATTCTATTAAAGATTGATGGACTGACCACATCGACTCAAGGTTGAGGGACTGATTACCTCATTCTCCTCCTGTTCTTCACGTTTCTCCTTCGTATGGACTGATGAAGCCACTGTATGGCGAAACGTTTCCTCAATAAAGATACCCAAGAGTTGCACATGTGTCTAATTTATCAACATGTCGTTTCTCTGAACCGTTCATTTACAGGTATGGGTTCCAAACTGGTGCTGTGTACTTCAGTATGGGCCTGACGTACACAGTGTATAGTCTTGAACGATTCCTGAGGTACTGGAATGCTATTCTCAGGTTTGCCAGGCGCCCATATGCCACAGCAGTTATCTGGTTAATGTGTGCTTCTGGTGACATACTCGGTATTATACTCGCCCCTAGATCTTTCTCCCTGAGTGAGGTTTGCAGTCTTTGGCCGCCTAGCCTATACTCTGTCTGCGGTCTTCTTTGCCCTTCTCCAATCTTCATGACTTTGCATCTGATTGGGTTAAATTCTAGGAGCCAGTTGCTGGACCATGCATCCAGCCTGTCCAGGTCTCTTTGTAGACCTGTCTGGTCCACATCTGATTTAATTCTCCTCTTTAACTTCACATCATCTGCAAACAGGGACACTTCTGAGTCTATCCTTTCCATCATGTTGTTCACATGTACCAAGAATAGCACTGGTCCCAGGACTGACCCCTGTGGGACCCCGCTCGTCACAGGCGCCTACTGTGATACCTCATCACGGACCATGACTCGCTGTTGCCTCCCTGTTAGGTATTCTCTGATCCATTGCAGTGCCCTTCCTGTTATATGTGCCTGAGCCTCTAGCTTCTGTACTAATCTCTTGTGAGGAACTTTGTCAAAGGCCTTGTTGCAGTCCAAGAAAATGCAATCAACCCACCCCTCCCTCTCATGTCTTACTTCAGCTACCTTGTCATAAAACTTTAGTAGGTTTGTGACACAGGATTTGCCTTCCATGAATCCATGCTGGTTGGCATTTATACTCTTGTTCCATTCCAGGTGCTCCACCACTCTCCTCCTGATAATCTTCTCCATTACTTTGCATACTATACACGTCAGTGACACTGGTCTATAGTTTAGTGCCTCTTTTCTGTCTCCTTTTTTAAATATGGGTACTACATTTGCCGTCTTCCATACCTCAGGTAGTTGTCCAGTTTCAAGGGATGTGTTGAAGATTGTGGTTAGTGGCTCTGCTCCCTCTCTAAGGATCCACGGAGAGATGTTGTCCGGTCCCACCGCCTTTGAGGCATCAAAGTCACTTAGGAGCTTCTTCACTCTTCTTCAGTTGTGTGTATTTCATCCAACACTTGTTGGTATATCCCTTGTTGGTGTACCCCACTGTTTTGTCTTCCCAGTGTCCCTTTACCCCCACTGTAAATAGTTCACAAAATCTTATGTTGAGCTCCTCACATACTTCTTTGTTATTTCTTGTGAGCTCCCTACCTTCTTTCCTCAGCCTGATTACCTGGTCCTTGACTGTTGTCTTCCTCCTGATGTGGCTGTAAAGCAGCTTTGGGTCAGACTTGACTTTCCATGCTATGTCGTTTTTGTACTGCCGCTGGGCCTCCCTCCTCATCTGTGCATGCTCGTTTCTGACTGATTGACTAATCTCTTTATTTTCCTGAGTCCTTTGCCTTCTGTACTTTTTATATTCTCTAGCACATTTAGCTTTTGCATCCCTACACCTTCTGGTAAACCAAGGGCTCGTTCTGGTGTTTCCATCATTTCTGTTACCCTTGGGAACAAACCTTTCCTCTGCCTCCTTGCATTCTGTTGTTACATAGTCCATCATTTCGTTTACTGACTTTTCTACCAACTCTCTTTCCCACTGAACCTCCTGCAGGAAGGTCCTCATACCTGTGTAGTCCCCCCTTTTATAGTTTGGCTTTACCCTTTCTACTTCTGTTACCCTCTCCACTTGTAGCTCTATGATGTACTCAAAGCTCAGAACCATGTGGTCACTAGCTCCAAGGGGCCTTTCATATGTGATGTCCTCAATGTCTGAGCTACTCAGGGTGAACACAGGATCCAGTCTTGCTGGTTCATCCTCCCCTCTCTCTCTGGTAGAGTCCCTAACATGTTGGTGCATGAGGTTTACCAGTACCACATCCATCATCTTGGCTCTCCATGTTTCGGGACTCCCATGTGGCTCCAGGTTTTCCCAATCAATCTCCATGTGGTTGAAGTCGCCCATAACCAGTCACTTACTCCACTCGAGTGAGATCTTCTTGCCACCTCATGTTCCATGTGTGTCAGCATTTGTGGAGATTATATAGTAAAGCTGTTACTTGACATGAACAAAACAATGTATCCATATTAACAATGCCACAATATGCTTATGCATGACATTTAGGATCCAACAATAAATATTCAATGAAATTTACCACAATTATAATTTTTAAAGTTCAATGTGTTTAATCTTTGTATAAAATATTTGGAGAATTGTGTAAACTCTGCTATGGGAGAAGAAAATTTATTATTGCAATACTGTGTATTTCCCATTGGTGGTGACTCTCTGACAGCATATTTATATTCTAAAAATCCATGTTATCCTTTAATACAATTCTGGAATTAACTTTTTTTTTTATTAAAGAATGACTGTATCTTTCAGTAATATCAGATGAGAAAAAGAGTGGGAGCACCAGAAGGATGACTAAGATTTTCAGTCCCAACTTTCTTGGAGGGTATGCATGAGGTGTGTTCACCCATAGAGGGCCAATAACTTGGTCCCCCAACTAGTAATCACAGGATTTTGGGGATTCCTTGGGAAGACTGCCTTGCACCCTTTAATCCTTATATGAAGGGTAGTCAGGTACAGGAGATGGTTTAGTACCCTTAACAGTTGTAGAGGGTGGTTGTCTCTTTGAGGGAACAGCTGAAGCCCTTACCCTATCCAGGGGTCACAACCCAACACTATTTGGTAGCAACACTTAAATGCCTCACTCCACACCCTAGGAAAAGAGCTTGACACCTCGCCTATATTTTTTTTTTTTTACTTTAAGATAACTAAATCCACACTTTATATTTTTAACTCATCAGCCATCTCTCACCAAGATAGAGCAACATGAAAAGAAGAAACACTTTCACCATCATTCATTCAATTGTCGTCTTGCCAGAAGCGTGCCAACTTCACAGTTTGAATAACCCTCTGAACTGCAATACTCCTGCTACTCCTTCAGTGTAGGCACTATACATCCTACCTCCAGGACTCAAGTCCAGCTAACCAGTTTTCCTGAATCAAAACATAAAAAAACCACTTTCCTCCACTCACCTCTATCTTACATGCTCATACATGCCTGATGGATGTTCAGGCTTCTAGCACTCATAACTCCCTTACCCATTCCCTCCAACCCTTCCTGGAATGGCCACTACCCATACATACCTCTACCCTTGATTTATATGCCTTTTCTAATTACATGTATCCTACTTTGTTCCATCCTCTCTATATTTCCAAACCACCTCAAGAACCACTACCCTGCCTTTTGAATAATACTTTTGGTAACCCCACACCATATCCTAATCTCCAAGCTGCAAATTCTCTAAATAATATTCACACCACACACACTGCCCTTAACATGACATCTCTACTGCTTCCAGCCTCCTCCTCACTGCAATATTTAAAACCCACATTTCACACCCATATAAATTGTTGGAACCACTATACTCTGGTACATTCCTCTTTGTCTACTTTTTTAACACAACAGCTGTCTCCCACTGAAGCAGGGTGACCCGAAAAAGAAGAAACAAAGTTTTTCTTCTTTTTCCATTTAGTAATTTGTCTATTATATACAAAATAATTATAAATTGATTTGTTGTATTCTTAATGTTTCACCTTTTTGCTCTTTTTTATTTATCACTTGTTCAGTTTGCTGATTTTTTTTTAACCAGGGAGCAGCACTAAACCCATAAGGGTCATAAAGTACCTGGAGAATGAGAAGCATATACATACACAGTACTATACTGTACCGTACATGTCAACTGATTTAGAGGGTGTACAAATTTGGGGTGGATGGAAGGAGTGCAAAGTACACTTTAGGAAAGGTTAGAAGTAGGTAGAGGCAAGAGGTCTTCAGGATCTAACATAATGTTAAAAATATACATGATAATACAGTATTTATGAAAGAATTCAGGCAAAATCCTGGTAATTAGAGTAAAATTTTTGTCTACCGATTAGTGGATAAAGGATTGAGCCTTCACCACTTTGCACTGAATGAGCCACATGAATTTAGCATTTCACATAAATGAATAAATATGAAGGGATTCAGTGAAACTGGTAAACCAAACTTGAGTCTTGAAGGTGGGAAGTAATACAGTTCTATGAAAGCATTTACAAGTCAAGCAGAAATACTGTAGTTCATTAGGAAAGCTAATGAGAAAGTGACAGTGAATGTGCATTTTCTTTGGGTGACCCTACCTTGCTGAGCAGTGACCTGACATACTAAAACGCCCATCGAGAAGATTCCATAAAAGAATGGAACGAGGCAAGAGATAACTTGACAGTGTTAATAAATAAATAACAAGGAAAGAAAATCACGCTCACTAAATCTATTTCAAAAAACTAGTATAAACTAAGCAATTTAAAATTACCTTGCTGACTGAGTTTGCTGCTTAGAAACAACAGAAGACATCTGTCCTTCAACTTCGTCACTTTCACTCTCTGTGCCCAGTGAAGCTGCTGCGTCACCTAGTGTGTTCCCTACCAGACTTCTGTATGCTGCTGTAGCTGTTAATATTAGCGCATGGATTTAAAGACAGAATTATTACTCAACCTTTTAATTATTATGCTAGAATTTATAGTTTTATTTTACTGTCAATTCAGCTAAAAAGCATAAAAAAATTGCAACACTGAAGAAATCCTCATACAATATACTTAAAATAAGCAACACACTATATAATCTATTATTTATGGAATTAATTACCAGTAATTATACAAATAATGAATAATTATAGATGTTATGTATGGTTTATACAAGTTGAACTGCATTGCCGGCTTGATCCAAGGAGAGGGGTAGCTCTACTTTCTTGGATCAAGAGCCCTTTACTAGCATTTGGGCACCCTTCCCCCTTTTAAGGATGATATACAGTAAAAAGCACAGTGATGAAAGAGGATATACAGTACAATTGCCTCACCTGTAACTACTACATCACGATCAAAGAAATCTGAATCCTCCTCCTCCTCTTGATTCTCTGCTGACACTTTTAAATGCAAGGCTTCTGCTATTCCAGATTCATTTTCATTGGTGTTGTGAATATCATTTCTTTCTCTGTGAGAATGTTGATCTATTTTTTCTGGAGAGGTTAATTCTGAAGAACTTGATTTACTTTCAACAGACTGATGTGATGTCTTTTTTAATTCATCTTCTCTTATAAGATTACTTGGTTCTTCTTTTATGTGAACTACAGATGACTGTGGTGCGTCTACATCAGCTTTCATTACTGTCGAGTCCATGGATGCTGTTAAAGCAGTGTCACAATGCTTTTTCTGTGATGCTGTTACTATATTATTGTTGTTAGTTATGGCGTCAGAAGAGATGAGGTTTACTTGGCAGGTTTCCTTGCTTGGTAAAGCAGACTGAGCATCTTTGGTGACATGTGATTTATTGGTGTTATCATTGGTTGAATGTGCAGGCAATTCACCACCATCACAGGCAGGCAATGATTCATTACTTATTCTCTGATATCTGTTTTCTTTGTTTATATTCAAAGTTTCTGCAAAACATTTATCTCCCAAGGAATTCGCAGTTGAGTCAGTTAATTTTTTTTCACTGTCAATAATAATACCACTTGCAGACATATCTACATTTTCCTTTTCATTTTCTGAAGTTTGCTCCTCTCCATTTAAGTCACTGGTGCTTAAGTTGGAATTTAGTAACAATGGTTGATTATTTAGGGCATTAGACAGTTGTTGCTCAACTGATGCTTCCTCCTCTTTGGCATCAATATTTGCATTTTGATTTTCTTTGACATTTTCCAGCACAGAGTGAGTGGATGCTTTCTCAATGGTGTTTCTTCCTGAAATCTGAACTTCACATAAATTATATTCACTCTCATTGGTTGTTTGCATGGGAGTTTGATGCAAAATTTCATCATTCTTCATAACAGATCCATGACCTGAAACTTCAGATAGTTTAGCTTCTAAAAACTGAGTATGTGTTAAAGACTTGGGAGATGAAACAGATTCTGGTAAGCTTAGCATTGCTGTCACTGCAGGAATTTTAGATGAATCATATTGTGAATTTATAGAAGATGGCAGGGTTGGGTTTTCTGGTAAATGTGCATGACTTCTATTACCCATTTGATTGTACTGTGTTCTACTAATAGGATTCTGGAGAGGATTATTATGCAGTTGTTGACTGTGTAAGTCCTGTGTAGTAAGGTGATCAGGAATGGAGATATTTCGAAGTGCAATACTTTCTGCATCACCAGTAACTAAATCTTGTGAAGGCTGCACTTCTGAGAAAACATTATGTAGAGAGTGATTAGTTTCCACATGACTTACTGGAATAAAGCTATTAAAATCATGTTGGTGCAACAACTGTATTCTGACTTTCATTCAAAGGTTGATTAACATCTCCAGATGGTGTGGTATGAATTATGTCAGAAACAGAATTTGATTGATCATTTATATTTCCCAAATGACAATACTGAGCAGAGGAATTAAATAAGTTAGTGGCTCCACTTGTCACTGCAGCTGGAGTATTAGTATAAGTTCTTTCTCCAGTGTGTGGACTTGTGAAACGTATGGATGTTTCCTTTTGACCAACAGTTTGAAGGTGAATTCCATTTGGGTGCAACAACTGCTGTTCATATGCTGGGTAATTCATATACACTTGAGGTAAATAACTTCCTGGAGGCTTTGTAGGTTGTTGACTGGAGGTGGATGAACTAGATGAAGTAATGGGAGAAATATGAGACTGCAGAACAATGACTGGTTGGGAGGTAGGTAGGCTAGTGACAGGAGTGTAGGGCTGCTGAGAAACATTCCTTCCAGGTGCTCCAACTAAAATAAAAAATAAAAAAATTGGAAGGCTCTTGAAGGCATGTGTAACAAAATATAAATAAGAGTGCAAGTGTTCAAATAACAAACACTTATGTTATCACAATTTTTCATATTGCACCTGTATATCCATTTTATAATATTTATCTTTTTACTGAAAAATATGACTATGTATATTGGAGTGGATTTCCTCTATTCTGTTCATAATACACATACAGTACACTACTGTATAAACGTTTAAAAATATACCAGAAATGTTATAAACAATGCAAAGGTGACATTAAAACAATATCTAAGATGGTTAACACAAACTCACTACCATTACAGTATGCTCCTCACTTAGCAATGAATTCATTTACCGATGTGGTCTTAGGAATGGAACTTCGTCATTAAGTGAGGAGAGGCTGTATTTATTTATACAGCAAAGTGTATATGAAAAAGTTTGATACAGGGTTTAAAAATAATTCAAATCTCCTTACCTGAGTTTTGAAAATAATGGTACTTATCACCTTGTATTTTGTACTGAAGATCACTGTAAGTATTGGCTATGTGCATCTCATACTGTCGCTGAAAGAGAATAAAGTCATTTTATTTAGCAAAGAGAAGTGTTGACGGAAGCATATATTCAATGATAAACTTGATTTAGTCTTAAAGAGATAATTTTATTATTATAAATGTGTACCAGAGAAACAGAATTTTTCCTCTGTAAGACATGCATGTCATAAGAGGTGACTAAAATGCTGAGAGTAAGGGGCTAGTAACCCCTTCTCCTGTATATATTACTAAATTTAAAAAAGAGAAACTTTTCTTTTTCTTTTTGGGCCACCCTGCCTCAGTGGGATACGGCCGGTTTGTTGTAAGAAGATAGCAGTCAAATATCGCCATTCTAGATATGCTGCTAATACACTGTATTAAAATTCAGATAATAACAACTGTAAGCACAGTACATAAAACGTGTAACTTGAAAAACTATATTCACCTCTAATCAATGGCGTAATAGTGCACAAAATATGTGCTAAAGGAATAACTGTCAAAGTCGAACACAAAAAGTAATGGTCAACAGAGTTAAATCGGAAGCTGCCATAGTGAAAAGCTCTCTTCCACAAGGCACAGTACTCGCCCCCATCCTGTTCCTCATCCTCATATCAGACATAGACAGAGATGTAATCCACAGCACCATGTCATCCTTTACAGACAATACTAGGATCTGCATGAGACTGTCATCTATTGAGGACACGGTTAACCTCCAAGAAGATATAAACCAAATTTTTGAATGGCAATGGAAAACAATATGATGTTCAATGCAAGTATACTAGAAACTCTGATTATACAATAAAGTGGAAAAATAATGTGAGGGATCTTGGAGTGGTAATGTCTGAGAATCTCACTTTCAAGGATCACAACAGTGCCACGATCATAACTGCAAAGAAAATGATAGGATGGATAATGAGAAAATTCAAAACAAGAGATGCCAAGACAATGATAATCCTTTTCAAATCACTTGTTCTTTCTAGGCTGGAATACTGCTGTACATTAACATTTCCGTTCAAAGCAGGTGAAACTGCAGATCTAGAGAGTGGACAGAGAACCTTTACTGCACATATAAGTTCCATCAAACACCTTAAATAATGGGAACGCTTAGAAGCACTTGACTTGTACTCGCTGGAACTCAGGCGAGAGATATGTATCATAATCTACACTTGGAAAATCCTAGGAATGGTGCACGTAGCTGCACACAGAAATCACTCCCTATAAAAGTAAAAGTCTGGGCAGGCAATGCAAAATACCCCCAATGAAAAGTAGGGGCGCCATTGGGCCCTGGACACCATAAGTGTCCAGGGCCCAAGATAGTTCAACAGCCTCCCACCAATAGGCCCCTGGCTGCCTGCAAGAAGGATCTGGACAGATACTTAGTCAGTGCTGGATCAGCCGGGCTGTGGCTTGTACGTTGGACTATGTGCGGCTAGCAGTAACAGCCTGGTTGACCAGGCTGTGATCCATCGGGGAGGCCTGGTTGTGGACCAGGCCACGGGGGCATTGATCCCCAGAGTACCCTCCAGGTAGACTCCAGGTATACATACCTATAATAAAGTTTAATTAATAAATTACAAGCCATAAGTCAAGAATTAGCACTCTTAGGCCTTGAAGAACTGCCAGCATCACTACCTTTGCATTTTGGGGCCATTATTAAGCAAAATTAAGGGTTATTTTCAGGACATGGTAAACCATGGATAACTGAAACCGCGGTAACCAAATCCACGGATACAGGGGTTCTAGTGTATTATAATGTGTCAAATAATCCCAGTCATACATTTTAAAAATTATACTGCAACGAACCTTCTTTTGTCTCAGTCTCTCTGTATGGGCAGCCAGCAAATCATGTTCTCTTCTCAATGCATCAACTTGAGCAAGCAGACTCTGGTAGCGCTGTGTTGCTTTGAGCTCTTCTTGTACGAGTTCCTTCTGCACCTCCTTGATTTTATCTTGCAGTTCTTCATATCTGATTCATGTGAAGGCATTAATTACTTTAGTGTTGTTATGCATAATTCCCACATTTATCAAGCCTATTCTAATTTTATTTAGGTGGGAAAGAATAAGTGAAGTCAATATACAGTGTATACATATATGTGTGGAGAAGCACTAAAACTGTAGGTGTCATACAGCACCTGGGAATGAGAGGTAATCAGGTTTGATCCAATAAAGGAGAGGGTAGATCTAGTTCCTTGAATCAAATCCCTTCACCAACATCAAGGCACCCTCCTGAAAGGTGAACTAAGTCTAATAAGACCTAATATGAAATCAGTATTATTATTATTATATTCATGGAAAGAACTAAACCTATATGGTCATACAGCACCTCATGTCAGATGGGGGGGGGGAGAGGGATGAGAGGGCACTGAGGCAAAGGTGTTAAGTGAAGAGCATCTGAAAGGCTGATGATTATAGCTTATGAAGCAAACCACAGTCAGAAAATGATAATGTTAGCAGCAAAGGTGAGGCCATCATAAAGGAGGGTGGACAAAGCAAACATGTCATGGCACTGGAGAATTATTATCATATTCATAGGGGAGCTCTAAATCTATAAGGGTCATCCAGCGCCTGTGGGAATGAGAAGCAATAAGGTTTCATTGAAGGAATGAGAGATCAGGTCTAATTCCTTGGATCAAAAGCTCCTCACCAGCATCAAAGAACTTCCCTTGAAAGTAAGAGCATCGTAGACAGCATCATAACTTGTACAGTACTTCAATATGATGCTCTAATTGAGCAATTATTTTATACAAACATTTTTTTCTAATAAACTTGAAGTTACCTTTTGTTCCTTTTGTGAGTCTTCATCAGAATTTGCTTCTCTAGCTGAAGGCGATGTATTTCCCTGAAAGGGAAGAAAACATGATATAACAGCAGTATTTTCTGAAACAGAATAACAGTAATCAGTGATCTAACTAATATTACTCTAATACAGTGATGAATGGTATTAAGTAAACTTAAAATTACCAAAGCACTGCTGAAAAAGACAGGGTAATAAGTGAAGAAAGATTATTACCACTATATCTTCACAGTTAAAATATTTATTAAATAATTTTACCGTAATTTTCAGATTTTAATAGCTAATAAAGTTTTAATTAAGAACAATTCAGCATACCTTTCTCTTACAGCTTTCTGAATTTCAGATATCTGATGATAATATTCTCCCATGTCACCCATTTTTCAGGATCATGTAAAGTGACCTTTAAAGAAAATTGTCAAAGTACTGTAGCACTGTATATATAGAGTGCAGACTAACCACTGTGAAAAAAGTGAAATTCCAAGTGCTTTCATGATTTCTCACATTATCAAGAAACTAGTTCCTTGATAATGTGACAAACAAAAAAAGTGTTTGGGGAATTTCACTATTTTTTAACAGGGGGTTATTCTGCAATTTGATATATTTTTTTCTGTAAATCTTATTGCCAAAAATAAAGTACATACAGTAAAAATTTGTTAAAATATTCTTTGTGATTGTAATTACATTGTAAAAATAATGATTAATGAAAAATAAAATTAAGTTAAGTTACTTTTGAAAATTCCACAATAAAATTTGGGGCCCGTGCAAAAATAGATCAATTATAATTTCCCACCCCCCGGGGTATTTATTTTCTAAACTTTATCTTTTCAGATAAATTATTTAAAATGAATCTGTATTTTTCCCAGTTACTCAACTGTAGCTCAATACGGATAAGTTATAGTCAGTACTATTTTTCTAGTAAAAAATTTTGTGTAAGATTTTCCGTGAAATGGGAGGAATATAAAGTAAATTCTGCTGAAAAGTTTTTAAAAAAAAAATGGAGTTTTAAATTTTAACTTACAAACAGTATCTGAATAATTTAAAGTTTAATTAAAAACAAGTACTGTTTTGCAAAATAAAGAAAATATTTAAAAAGTACATGATGTATAAAGATGGGGTAGTCAGAGAAGTAAATATTCAAATATCCCAAAGGAAAAAACACAAATTTTTTCCCGAATCCTTTTTTTAATTGGTACACTTTATTTCAAAAATCAATGAAAGATTTTTCAATTACATTTAATTTTAAAACAAACCCTAAACAAACGAAAAAAACCAAAAAAAAATTTTTAAATAATTTTGTATGGGCCCTTTAAGTGTTGCATGGAAAAGGATAAATAACAGTAAAAGGGAAAAGAAATCAAAATGTAGATGAGCATAAAGGGAAAATGACAAGGCCGTTTTAAAAAACATTTTTTAGTTAAAAAATCTACAGGGGAATCTGTAAAGGAGGGGATCAAAAATTAAACAGCATGCTCTCGACAGCTGCTCTCGACAGTATGCTCTCGACAGCATACTCTCGACAGCATGCCTCTGACGCATCCTCTGACAGCATGCTCTCTGACAGATACCTCTGACAGCATACTCCGCAGCTTACTCTCTGACGCATACTCTCTGAAGTATGCTCTTGACAGCATGCTCTCTGACAGCATGTCTCGACAGCATGCTCTCGACACTACTTTGACTGCATGCTCTCGCAGCAAACTCTCTGACGCAACCTCTGACAGCATTCCTGCAGCATACTCTTGACAGCATCTATCGAAGCAAACTATCTGACAGCATGCTCTCTGCAGCATCTCTTGAAGCATACTCTTGACGCATGCTCTCTGACACATGCTCTCTGACAGCAACTCTGACGGGATACTTCTGACGCATACTCTGACAGCTACTCTCTGACGCATGCTCTTGACGCATGCTCTCTGACAAACAGACATCGTCAAAGCAATGAACTGTCGCTCGAAAACCCGGGGGTTCAAAAGAAGGGAAAGTGTATTTTTTTTAAATTCCCAACAATATGTTAGGTAAAAAGGACACAAAGGCAACTAATGTGCTTTACTGGGAAAACGTTTGTCTCCGGGAGCTTTGTCAAGCCATTACAGCTGTAATGGCTTGACAAGCTCCGGGAAGTGAAAATTGCAACAGTAAAATGTCACTTGTTGTCTTGTGTCCCTTTACTTAAAACAATGGACAGAGAAGGACAATGTTTGGGGGTTTCCCCCAAGTGTCAATGGAAAAAAAAATGTGTCACCATTACCTAATGGCGTGTCATTCCTGGAGTGGGAATATCAGTATCAACCCATTTGTGGTTGCAGGGGGGTTGAGTCACAGCTCCTGGCTTCGCTATTTGTGGTTGCAGGGGTTGAGTCACAGCTCCTGGCTTTGCTATTTGTGGTTGCAGGGGTTGAGTCACAGCTCCTGGCTTCGCTATTTTTTGGTTGCAGGGGGTTTAGTCCACACTCTGGCTTTGCTATTTTGTGGTTGCGGGGGGGAGCACAGCTCCGGCTTCGATTTTGGGAGGGGTTTTGTCCCCAGCTCCTGGGTTTGTTTTTGTGGTTTTCAGGGGTTAGTCACAGCCCTGGCTTGCTATTTTGGTTGCAGGGGTTGGTAAAGTCCTGGCTTGCCTCCTCACCGATTGCTACTGGGTTTCTTTCTTCCTCTAAAAGGCTATTAAAAACATTCATATGGGAATCAGGTAAACAGCCAATTATGGTTAAGTTTGATTAGTGTTAATTTTGATATATGTTTAAAAATGCCAAAGGCCCCTTTTTTTTTTAAATTTTTACGGGGGGAAAATAAAAAATAAAGGGCCATATAGCACCTGAGAAATGGGAGGATCCAGGTTTGATCCAAAGGGAAAGGGGGGGCAAAAATTTGTTCCCCGGATCAAAAGCCCCTCACCGGATCAAAAACCCCCTTGACGGGTGAAGATACCCAGACGTTCCACGTGTCTTATTTTAACAAAATTTAGAGATGGGTTCCCCTTTTTAATACACGCACTTCACCCTTTAAGTTTCTTCTCCCGGTAATGACTGCAAGAGTCGTAAGTGTTTCAAAAGGGTTTTCGTTATTTTGTTTCACACCTCCCCCCGCACCAGTTTTGTTTTTCACTGGGGATGATGTTACCTGGCAACCACGAATACGTGTTTTACAGGTTATTTTACAATAGAATATTTGAGAAGTAGAATAAAAAAAAAACACAATTTTTTGAATTTTTATACGGCAGGGTTTAAAAAAAATTTTTTTTGTATGTAAAAATAAAGGGGGGTACAAATAAAAGAAGTTGTATTGGATTTATAAATTATAATTGTATTGGCATTTAGTTAAAGCTTTAATCATTGTATAATTTTAAATTTGCAAAATTTCCCGAAAGTATTAAAAATACGGCGTAGCGAAAAGTGTCAAGTTTTCCTGAAATTATATAATTCTTTTGGTCTTTTCATTAGTATTTACTCCTCAAAAAATTACACTTTTTAAAGTCACATCCAAAAAAAAATCGTACTTAATAAAAACTATTTATCAATCCATTTTTTTGTAAGGGGAAAAAGGTGTGACAATTCAATTTTATTTACCCTCACATTAAAATATCCTTTAAAAAACCTATTTAAAACACTGTGAGACCACAAAAAAAACCTCTTATTCTGCTATTTATTATAAAAAAAAAAAGGTGTGGAAAAAACGATTCCATTTTCTTTTTTTTAATTGTTCATATAGGAAAATGTGTTAGTTGGGAGTGGGACACAACACAGGAGGGAGTCATCATGGTCCCGAGATGCTGCAAAAGAAAACCCAAGAGGAGGTGGGAGTATAAAAAGACCGAAAGGTATATGTGTTTTCCTGGGGGTGTTTCTTGCTGCCAGAGTTAAAAGTTTATCAAATATGTGAGGGGGAAGTCGGTAGTCCGTGTGTCTGAATTTAAAAATCACTTCGCCTTTTTTTGGAGATTATTCTGAAAATTTACACACATGTTTTTTGTATGATAATCTGTGTAACTATTTTTGTGTCCCTTTTTATTTAAATTAAAATAAACTCTTTGGTTTTTAATTTTAGATTTTTTTTTTTTTTTTTTTTTTTTTTTTTTTTTTTTTTACAAATATCACCTTGATGCCGGTGAGGGAGTCTTGATCCAGGGAAATGGAGCTGTCTTCTCATTCCCAGGCACTGTGTGACCCCCATGGGTGTAGCTCTTCCTACTGATTATAATAATTTACAAACTGCATACCAAAAATTTACAAAAAACATGCCAGATTTTATTGACAAGACATATGACTACAAAAAAAAAAAGTACAGATAGGCCTAGTTTATAAAGAGATAAAGTTAAAATATCTGGGAATAACATTAATGATTTATAATAATGGTATACAATAATAATAATAATTTATTATTATTATTATTATTATTATTATTATTATTATTATGTGTACAGGCATAGCAGACATCAGTGATAATGAGGAATTAGACAGATATGCAACATGTCTTGCTAACTTTGACTCTTTTTGGGTTTTCCTAGATAATTTGTATAGCTGTGATTTTGTGTACCTGTACCTAAGTAAACTTACTAAGGTGCTTGGTTGGTAGTGTCCTCAGTTCACACACTGAAGGTCTGAGATTGATCCCCGACTTGGGTGGAAACTTGGGGCATGTTTCCTTGCCTCTGCTGCCCCTATTCACCTAGCAGTAAGTAGGTACCTGGGTGTTAGCCAACATGTGGGTTGCATCCTAGGGGACAAGATTAACTTTAGCTGCCTGAAATGCTCTGCATAAAATAAGAAAAGATATGTTCAGATTTATAAACCAGGAAGGTTAGCTACCTAGGATAATTCAAGAAAGTCAGTGTATCATCGAGGACTGTCTTATATTTCCATTTTTTTTTTTAATCTTGTCTCCCCAAGATGTGACTCACACCAGTCAACTAGCACCCAGGTACCTACTTACTTTTAGATGAACAGTGACAGCAGGTGTAAAGAAACATGACCAACATATCTACCCATACTGGGTATTGAACCACAGACAGTCAGTGTGAGGCGAGTGCTCTGCAGCCAAGCAGACTTAATATAAAGTATATCAATAATGTCAGTTAGGTCTGTATCAGTTGTATCATATATTTTTTAGAAATAAACAATTATTATTACTATTATTATTAAATACCAGCTTCTAGGCTGAAATATTGGTTATATACCTAATGTTCCATTGTCTTTGTGTATCATCTCTATTTAATTGTAAAACTTACTGGTTTATGAAGTGTCTTCATATAAAGATACTCAGGTGTTGCATGTTATGTAATTCCTCATTATGTATTGAACTGGAAAGTTCAGTGAAATTAATACCACTTTAAATTCCTGATTGTCATACAAACCTGCATTTTCCTTGTATCACATAAATAACACTATAGTATATCTTTTCAGGTTACAAACCTGCATTTTCCTCGTATCATAACACTATATATCTTTTCAGATTTATCCAAAACTACCAACTTGAGGTCTCAGCTTGATGGACAGCTAAATGAAAACAAAGTAGTTCAAGAGGTGAGAAAAGAATGTAGAGTAAATGTTCAATAAACCATTGATTTAAAGGTCCATACATGATGTAGGAAATGCCTTAGAGAAACCATACCCCCGGCCTGGATTGAACCCGCGGTCATAGAGTCTCAAAACTCCAGCCCGTCGCGTTAGCCACTAGACCAGCTAGCCACAATAAGATTCATCCAACTAGGTATATTTCTACACCATAGGAAAGTTAGCACAGGCACCTCTGTGACCACAAATGCAAGTTTTTACAGACGAATCTCCAGCTAGCGTGGCCGTGACGAACTCTAGCTCAAGTCCCTTCACTGCCGTCAACATGACTCAAGAAATCGTAATGACACGATTGCAAATAAACCATACGATTACGATTACGATTTCTTGAGTAATGCCTTAGAGCTAAGACTGGTTAGGACTTTTTATTTCCTTTTTTTTTGTGAGCTTGTCGTTAATATAAATGAAAAATAGGAAGACAAGTAAATTTCTGGTTCTTATGCAGTAAATAAAATTGTTGAACTAAAAAAGTATTACATATCAAGCAGTTGAGATTGAAATACTCTACAAAACCATTGGGACTATTACTTGTTGCATTTGAATTAATCATACAACAGTACAAACCACAGGGGTTACCCAATACAGGTGTACTTCTCTTCATTTGAGATGACCACATTGCATTCCCTATGGTAACTGTCATAATCCCTTTGACTGCTCTCTCTCTCACTGAATCTCCTACCATGCACATTATTCACACTATCCACACCAGACTGTCCATGCTACTGTTTTTCTTTACTCATTAAATATTAAGTGGGAGGAGCAAAATTTGTTCGAAAACCCTATCTTGGTTCCTTTCTAAGTAGGTGCATCTCTTTTTTGTCTGACAACAAATCAGAATCATCTACAATATTTTGTTTGCCTCTTGGCCAGTATAAAGTACCTTGCATCTTCCTGAAATTTCATGGGTCTTTTTAGGAATGGAGCTTCATTAGGCTCGAGGCCAAGTTCTCAGCCTAAATAAACACGTCTTCAAAAGTTTTTTGACAAGCTCTTATTATCTTTGCCTTTTTTGTGTAATGCTTAATGACCTATACAGGTTTAACACTTTCTGTGAGTATAATAATCCCTTCTCTTCGCTTGATTATTTCTTCTGCTAGTACCATATCAATGTCTCTAAGTGGTTGTAAATTTTTCAGAATACAAGACCTTGTTATATCTCATTTCCCTTTTCCACCAGTTTATCAAAGTCTGAACCTCTTTTAGTTGATAAACTTTTAATGTTCTGTTGTCTTTTGTTTGCAATTTGTTGATCCTTACTCTGATGCCTCATACACTGCATGTGTGCAACATGTTCTTTACAAAATATTTACACCAGGCATTGGTTCAAAGTCTGTTGCACAATGTCATGGCTTGGAGTTATCTCAGTAAATGGTATACACACTGCTCCTTACACCTTTCTCCTGATTCTAGTCTTTTGACAGTTAATGGGTCCTAGTTTTGTCCTTACTGGAAACCTTTTTTATTCAATAGCTATGAATGATCTCCATTCCTCTGGTGCTACTACTGTGCTTACTAATAGCTCCTAAAGCCTTTGCTCAGATAGGGTATACTTCTGTTTAATAATCAAGTCTTTCAAAGGTAAGTGCACCAGTCAGCTATATTTTTCCAACATATTTATATGCCTATCTCACTGCATTACCTGGAGTTTACCTGGAGAGAGTTCTGGGGGTCAACGCCCCCGCGGCCCGGTCTGTGACCAGGCCTCCTTAGGTCAGTGTCCCGGGATGCGATCCACACCAGTCGACTAACACCCAGGTACCCATTTTACTGATGGGGAACATAGACAACAGGTGGAAAGAAACATGTCCAATGTTTCTACTCTGGCTGGGAATCGAACCCAGGCCCTCACCGTGTGAAGCGAGAGCGTTAACCACCAGGCCACCAGAGCAAACTGTCAATGCAGACTTTGATGCATAGTCAACATAAAATGGCTGTCTTTTACTGAGGCCTCCAGTTGTGCATTTCATTTGTAAACTTGCAGATTCCTCCTACATACTTTCACAAGGAATTGTCTTTTTTTCATTTTCGTGGTACTGACACAACATTTAAGAGGCCATTGACAAACTGTTATTATGTACTACAGTGGACCCCCGCATAACGATATTAATCCGTTCCTGAGAGCTCATTGTTATGCGAAATTATCGTTATGCGAATGAATTTTCCCCATAAGAAATAATGGAAATCAAATTAATCCGTGCAAGACACCCAAAAGTATGAAAAAAATTTTTTTACCACATGAAATATACATTTTCCTAAACACAAAGAGAAGGATACATGCACAATAGTAGAGTAGTACATGCACAATATATATTGTGCATGTACTACTCTACTAAATGAAGAATAAATGACACTTACCTTTATTGAAGATGCAGCAATGACTGATGAGACACTGTGTCCTGGGAGTGCCTTTTCCTCCTGAGTACTGTAGGTCCTGTTTGGCATTTTCTTCCAGAACAGGCCTTATCACACTGTGTATGCCACTATGATTCTTAAATCTCTCAAACCAACCTTTGCTGGCTTTAAATTCACCAATATGAGCACTAGTTCCAGGCATTTTTCCCTGTTCACCTGGGTGTTAGTCGACTGGTGTGGGTTGCATCCTGGGAGACAAGATTAAGGACCCCAATGGAAATAAGTTAGACAGTCTTCGATGACACTGACTTTTTTGGGTTATCCTGGGTGGCTAACCCTCTGGGGTTAATTGTTTCTTGGTATTCTCAATAAGCCACACCAACAACGGTGCTACAGCAGCAGCAGCAGCAGCTGACAGTGCTACAGCAGCAACAGCTGACAGTGCTACAGCAGCAACAGCTGACAGTGCTACAGCAGCAGCAGCTGACAGTGGTACAGCAGCAGCTGACAGTGCTACAGCAGCAGCAGACGGTGCTACAGCAGCAGCAGACGGTACTACAGCAGCAGCAGCAGCTGATGGTGGTACAGCAGCAGCAGCAGCAGACGGTGCTACAGCAGCAGCAGATGGTACTACAGCAGCAGCAGCAGCTGACTGTGGTACAGCAGCAGCAGCAGCAGCAGCTGACAGTGCTACAGCAGCAGCAGCTGACAGTGCTACAGCAGCAGCTGACAGTGCTACAGCAGCAGCAGACAGTGCTACAGCAGCAGCAGACGGTACTACAGCAGCAGCAGCAGCTGATGGTGGTACAGCAGCTGACGGTGCTACAGCAGCAGCAGCATCAGCAGCTGACCATGGTACCACAGTATTTCGATAATATTTCTCACCCTTTTTACCACAGGGTTGGCACTAGAAGCTTTCTTGGGGCCCATGGTCACTTATTTTGCAGATAAAATCACCAAAAACGCTGTAATAATACGAAATGTTCCGATTGTATGCTTGGATGTTACCGCGGAGGCTGGCTTGTAAACAATGCCACCGGCGGAACATGTGAGGCTGGCTCTGGCCGCACATTAGACGCGTCTCGGACGAATAGCGTTGAGCGGGTTTTTTAGCGGTATGCGAGGCAAAATCTTAGCGATAAAATGTATCGGTATGCGGATTTAACGTTATGTGATACCAACGGTATGCGGGGGTCCACTGTAATGATAAATAATCTGTTTTGGCAGTTTTCACTTCATAGCTGTTGATTGTGGGATACTGTTTTCTAGAAGCTGCTTATTGGCTGCATCAGAATTGCTCATAGTTGCTGACATGAACATAATTTTAAGTACAGGCTTGCTATGTTTACAAGGGGCCACATTTACTATTTCTTCATGTTCCTGTTATATTTACTTTGTCAGTTTTCTTCTCAGAAGACAACACATTTAATGCCAGTTCAGTCTTCTGTTAGTATTCTTCTCTGAAAGCTACACATTTAATGCCAGTTCAGTTTAAGTTAAACCAACTTTGAGTGTTATGCTTCATCACCTTCCCACCTAATTATGCCTTGTATTTTATTTCTGCTTCTTGAATTTCTTTTGATGTGCTCTCCCTCATCTCTGTGCACCAGTGAATATTATTATTATTATGATACAGTACTATCAATGTTTAAATTCTAATTCACTGTGCATCTTGGTAGATGAGAATAAGGTACATGTCATTATTACTTGATTGTATAATTTGACTGGGATGAAGAGGCACAGAGCCTTTAGTGATGATAGAAAAGAAGGGCTTCTGTCTCAGTTTCCTATTCCTTTATTGCAGGGAAATGTTGGCTGTGCACAAAAATGGTAGACAGTGGAATCTCACCACTTGAGAAACTGTTCTACATGGTTAAATGTTCAATAGTTATTGTAGTAGTCTCAGTGATCAAACTTTTATTCTGTTCATAAAATTATGAATTGAATAAAATTAAAAAATATATAAAATTCTTAAAGGCTGCTTACCATTTTGTCACGAGTTATGTAGTAGTGATGTGTACATCTTATACATATTATTTCATGCTGTCATTCCTAAGCTAAAGTTGTTAGAAAATACTGTAGCTTTATTTAAGGATATATTCATTTAAATTTGAGAGTGCATTACAAATGAATGTTATTGATTATATGAACTTAGTGAACTTCCTTACAGGAACTGGATTTGATAGATGATGAAAGTGTGGTCTTCAAGTTGATTGGGCCAGCCCTCATTCGCCAAGATTTAGAAGAGGCTCGACAGAATGTCAACAAGAGAGTTGAATACATCACACAAGAAATGTAAATATTTGATATGTACTAAACTTTACATGAAATTTAATATCTAATATATAAAAAATTTTTGTTCAAATTTTTTTTTTTTTTGTTCTGATTAACATATCACATACATTAAATATAATTTAATCTTTTGTTAGTTATCACTATAATGATGAACCTAAACTTTCAACTATAAAGACACTGATAGCAAAGAATCCCTTTACTAAAACATTCATGCTTATTCCTGTATACTTGTTGAAGCCCAGCCTTAGGTGAAACATTGTATTAAAAGTATTCTTTATTTCTGCTTGTGGGCTTTTGCCGTCAGCTACCTTTTAACTTGTGCATGCAGAAGAAAAAGTAGTAAAAGCCTTATTGTTTCCAGTTATATTCATAGCTTCTGATGTATGACAATTATTTTTCAGTAAACGCCACGACAATACAATGGACAAATTAGAAAAGGATGCAGATGCCAAACGAGAAAGCATTGGTATGCTTCAGCAGCAAATGCAGCAGATGATAAGGAAACAAATGGGAAAATGAATTATAAGAATAATGCTTTCCCTGAAAACATTTGTTTTAAATTAACTTGCTTTCCCTTGCTCGCCTATAGAGCAGTGTGTGGAATCAGTGACATGAAGAAATGTCATTAAAAAATCTTGCAGTACCCTTCCGATGCAAGTTTCACATTTTCAGCCTTTATGGTTTTGATACAGTATAATAAAACACTTGCCTGTCATTTGTAGAATAAAATGCATGTTAAATTAAAACCAGTACTATATGTATATCTTGTATAATGCAATCATTTCATCACAGATTTGAAGTTTTATTATGTAATCTGATGATTTTCCTGTTAACACTAGTATTTACAGGTTATGTTCCTACCACCTCGTGTATCAAATGCTCTATTGCCATTATGTTATGAATATTTTCGTTTTCTATTGGTCGTATTAATTTCCTTCATAAAGAAGTGTATAATTGTCTTTCATTAATGTAGTAGATTATTAATTATCTAGCATCTTTAGGAAGAGGCTGTGCTAGATATTTTATTGCTGAATAATTAATGTATGGTATAAAAATAATGACAATTTTCTTCTTCTTATTCTTTTTAGTAATCTTTACAGGAAAAGGGGTTACTAGCCCATTGTTCCCGGCATTTTAGTTGACTTTTACAACACGCATGGCTTACGGAGGAAAGATTCTTATTCCACTTCCCCATGGATATAAAAGGAAAATTAATAAGACCAAGAACTATTAAAATAAAATCAAAGAAAACTCAGATGAGTGTGTATAAATAAATGTGTACATGTATGTGTAGTGTGACCTAAGTGTAAGTAGAAGTAGCAAGACATGCCTGTAATCTTGCATATTTATGAGACAGACAAAAGACATCAGCAATCCTCCATCATGTAAAACAATCACAGGCTTTCGTTTTACACTCACTTGGCAGGACGGTAGTACCTCCCTGGGTGGTTGCTGTCTACCAACCTACTACAGTTACTTTTTGCTGATGATACTGTGCTTATGGGAGATTCTAAAGAAAAATTTCAAAGGTTGTGGATGAGTTTTTTGTAATGTGTGTAAGGTTAGAAGTTGAAGTGAACATAGAAAGAGTAGTGTTGGTGTCAAATGATTTAGTAAAGAAAAATTGGATATCAAATTGGGGAGGAGGAGTATGGAAGAAGTGAATGTTTTCAGATACTTGGGAGTTGACGTGTCGGCGGATGGATTTGTGAAGGATGAGGTTAATATAGAATTGATGAGGGAAAAAAGGTGAGTGGTGCGTTGAGGTATATGTGGAGTCAAAAAACGTTATCTATGGAGGCAAAGAAGGGAATGTATGAAAATATAGTAGTACCAACACTCTTATATGGGTGTGAAGCTTGGGTGGTAAATGCAGCAGCGAGGGACGGTTGGAGGCAGTGGAGATGTCCTGTTTAAGGGCAATGTTGTGGTGTAAATATTATGCAGAAAATTCGGAGTGTGGAAATTGGAGAAGGTGTGGAGTTAATAAAAGTATTAGTCAGAGGGCAGAAGAGGGGTTTTTTGAGGTGGTTTGGTCATTTAGAGAGAAGGATCAAAGTAGAATGACATGGAAGCATATAAATCTATAGGGGAAGGAAGGCGGGGTAGGGGTCGTCCTCGAAAGGGTTGGAGAGAGGGGGTAAAGGAGGTTTTGTGGGCAAGGGGCTTGGACTTCCAGCAAGCGTGCGTGAGCGTGTTAGATAGGAGTGAATGGGACGAATGGTACTTGGGACCTGACGACTGTTGGAGTGTGAGCAGGGTAATATTTAGTGAAGGGATTCAGGGAAACCGGTTATTTTCATATAGTCGGACTTGAGTCCTGGAAATGGGAAGTACATGCCTGCATTTTAAAGGGGGGTTTGGGGTTTGGCAGTTTGGAGGGATTGTTTGTATCTTTATATGTGTATGCTTCTAGACTGTTTTTGAGCACCCTTGCAAAAACAAGGGTAATGTCCTTGGTCATCTGCTCTTTCCAGATGCCACCCACACCACTGGGTTAGTTTTTTCACTGATACACCTTGGTGTCCGCTGCTCCACCCCAGGATGCCACACACACCACGATACACTTGGCCAGCTGCTCTCCCAGGATAGCCACCTCACACCACTGAAACACCTTGGTCAGCTGCTTCCTCCCAGATGCCGACCCACACCACTGATACCACCTTGGTCCGCTGGCCCCTCCATATGCCCACCCACACACCACTGATAACACAAAGTCAGCTGCTCCTCCCAGGATTCCACCAACACACCACTGATTACCCCTTGGTACCTCTGCCCGCTACCAGGATGCCACCCACTACACTGAAACACCTTGGCCGCTGCTCCTCCAGATGCCACCCACAAGCCACTCGTACACCTTGATCAGCTTCTCCTCATACCAGGTATTCCACCGCACACCACTGCTACACCTTGGACAAGCTGTTTCCTCCCAGATGCACCCACAAACCACTGATACACTTTGGTCCGCTGCTCCCCCCAAGGAGGAGGCTCAACCCACACCCACTGATACACCTTGGTCAGCTACCCCTCCCAGATGCCACCCAACACCACTGATACACCTTGGACAGCTCTCCTCCAGGATCCACCCACACCACTGATACACCTGGTCAGCTGCTCCTCCCAGGATGCCACACCCACACACATGATACAACCTTGGTCCGCTGCCCTCCCAGATGCCACCCACAACACCACTGATACACCTTGATCCAGCTGCTCCTCCCAGGATTCCACCCACACCACTGATATACCTTGGTCAGCTGTTCCTCCCAGGTTGCCACCCCACACCACTGATGCACTTTGGTCCGCGATCCTCCCAGATGCCACCCACACCATGATACACCTTGGTCAGCTGCCCCTCCCAGGATGCCACCCCACACCCACTGATACCTTTGGTCCGCCTGCTCCTCCCAATCCACCCACACCACTGATACACCTTGGTCAGCTGCTCTCCGCATGATTCCACCTAGCACACCACTGAAACAACCTTGGTCCGCTGCTCCCTCCCAGGATGGCCACCCCACTCACTGATACACCTTAGTCACTGCCCCTCCCAGGATGCCACCCACACCACGATACACCTTGTTCATCTTACTCTCCCAGGATGCCACCCACCACCACTGATACACCTTGGTTTAGCATGCCTCCTCCCGAGGATGCCACCCACACCACTGATACACCTTGGTCCGCTGCTCCTCCCAGGATGCCACCCACACCACTGATACACCTTGGTCCGCTGCTCCTCCCAGGATGCCACCCACACCACTGATACACCTTGGTCCACTGCTCCTCCCACCACCTGACCCACCACCTGATTCACCACCTGACCCACCACCTGACCCACCACCTGACTCACCACCTGACTCACCACCTGACCCACCACCTGACCACCACCTGACCCACCACCTGACCCACCACCTGACCCACCGCACCTGACTCACCACCTTACCCACCACCCTTACTCTCCCACCTGACTCACCACCTGATCTCACCACCTGACCCACCACCTGACCACTCCTGAACCCACCACCGTGACTTCACCACCTGACTCACCACCTGACCCACACAGACTCACTCACTCTGACTCACCCACCTTACTTCACCACCTGACCCAACCACCTGACTCACCACCTGACTCACCACCTTACTCATCACCTGACCCACCACCTGACTCCTCACCTGACCACCACCTGACCCACCATCCAGACTCACCACCCTGACTCACCTGACTCACCACGCTGACCCACTCACCTGACCCACCACCTGACCCACCAACCTTCACCACCTGACTCACCACCTGACTCACCCACCTGACTCACCACATGAACACACCACATGACTCACCACCAGACTCACCACCTGACTCACCACCTGACACCACCACCTGACACACCATACTGACTCAACCACCTTGAATCACCACCATGACTCACTCACCAACCCACCACCTGACCCACCACTAGCCTGACTCACCGTCACCTGACACACCACCTGACTCACACCGACTCACCAAAGACCCACCACCAGACCCAGCACACTGACTCCCACCTGTCCCACCACTTGGACCCACCACCTGACTCACCACCTGACTCACCACCTGACCGCACCACCTGACTCTCCACCTGACCCACCACTGACCCACCACCTGACCCACCACCTGACCCACACCTGACTCACCAACCTGACCCACCACCTGACTCAACCACCTGACCTCCACCACCTAACTTCACCACCTGACCCACCACCTGACTCACCACCTTGACCCCCACCTGACCCACAACCTGACCCACCACCTGACTCCACCACCTGACCCACCACGCTGACTCACCACCAGACCCACCACCATCTGACCACCACCTGACTCCACCACCTGACTCACCACCTGACCCTCCACCTGATCTCACCACCCTAAACCGCTCTAATAAAACACTCAACCACTGCTCATCCCCCTAATATAACCCTCAGCCACTGCTCATCACCCTAATATAACCCTCAACCACCTGCTCACTCCCTAATATAACTCACTACCACTGCTCATCCCCTAATATAACCCTGAACCACTGCTCATTCGACCCCTAATATAACCCTAAAACCACTGCTCATGGTTCCCGCAAAAATAACTCACATACACTGTCTCATCAGCCCCGTAATATAACCCTCAACCACTGCTCCATTCCCCCCTATTATAAACCCGTCAAACCCACTGCTTCATCACCCCTAATATAACCCTCAACCAATGCCTCATCTCCCTAATATAACTCACTACCACTGCTCATCCCCCTAATAATAACCCTGAACCACTGCTCATCCCCCTATTATAACCTCCAACCACTGTTCATACCCCCCCTCCCCTCCTAATATAACCTAACCACTGCTCATCCCCCTAATATAACTCACAACCACACTGCACAACACCCCTATTATAACCTCAAACCACTGATCATCCCCCCTAATATGACCACCACTGCTCATCCCCCAAAAATAACCCTCAACCACTGCTCAATGATCCCCCTAATAAATAACCCACAACCACTGATCCTCCCCCCTAATATGACCACCAATGCTCAATGCCCCCTAATATAACCTCAACCACTGCTCATCCCCCTAATATAACCCTCAACCAATGCTCATCCCCCCCTAATCTGACCACCCACCTGCTCATCCCCTAATATAACCCCTCACCACTGCTCATCCCCCTTAATATAACCCTCAACAACCACTGCTCATCCCCCTCCCCACACATAACTCATTCATTTCCAAAATGCTTTCCTTAATTCTTTTATTTCGTCGTAAATTTAGTGTCGAATTCTATTGTTGTTTTTAATTTCTGAACAGTATAAATCTGACAGTAAATTCTGAACAGTAATAATTCTGAACAGTATAATTCTGAAACAGATAATTCTGAACAGTATAAATTCTG